TAGATAAACGTGACTTCCAACAAAAAGTGCGTGGGGACATACAGAAAGCTATGCATTAGGTGGCGTTGCCTGTCCTTGGTTTCATTAGTTGTGGCGAAAGTTCAGCAAAAGCGCCACTTGTATGTGCGTTTGTTGTGCAAGAAAGACTGTGGAGTACACGACCATCCTGCATAGCCAGTGCAGCAATGTGTCTTTGCAGACATAGAGTACTATAAGTACAGTGGTGGCTTTGTGTCGGTGGTGTCAAGCGAAATGTTCACGCCATCCGCTACTCGAGCCATCGTGGCTGTTTTATAATCACGAGCGGTTAGTTGATGTAACCGCCGAAAAAAGTGGGGCATGGGACTCACATGGGACTCACTACGACATTTTCCGAACAGTCCAATCAAATGCTTTCCTCGTCTCGCCATTGGTTCGCAGAGCGAATAACATCACCTGTGTCATAAGTGAAGACTATTTTAACTTTTCTCACTGGGCAGCGGGGGCTGGAGAGGTGGGTGTTGGCCTGCGTAATTTTATGCTAGATATCCTATATGGTAGACTTACAACAGAAGTTTCGGCTGAGGTGCATGCATGTCTGGAATGGGCGTTGGCAGGGCGTCAAAAGGGGCACTCGCCCCACCTCAATCAACAGCAGCATTTGCCCCCACCCAAGCTACACAAGCTATCTCCCCAGCCTCGATGCAACACGGGTTCGCACACCTCAAGCCAAAATCCTGCCGGCACTCATGATGCCCGGTGTAACGTCCCCTGACTAAGCCACTGGAGAGCAGGAAGGTAATCATTTTTTTTTTTAGGATGTGAGGTGCACGTTCGAGGCATCGAATATGAACCCTCAAGGCTCTTAGCGTATCTGTATCTAACAATGGATGGATACTAGACGCACGCGGAAAGCCCTTTGGAATATGGCAGAAATGAAACCGGTGTAGAGACAATCCGTACCTGTTGCTCGGACATGCGAGATGCTTTCCCGATTGCACCATCCGGTGACACGGCGACTTGTTTGCGGCCGTCTGAGACAGCCAAGGCGATACCGCATGCACTGGCGCTCACTACCACAACAGCGCTCGTGCGAGCGGTCGTGCGCACGTTCGTTCTGAGCCAGCAGTTATTCCTGTGCTGCTCTCGTTTCTGTCAGATGTGTGATTATCGCTTTCACTGGGAATCTAAAAGGATCGGCCTCCAAAGCTGCATTTACCGTGAGCTTCCGACTTACCTGTACACAAACCTGACTAATCAATGTAGCAGTATATCAAAATTTTCAGTTACTGGGGCTTCAATTGTCGACTTGTTGCCTAGTCATACTGACCGTGCACGTTAATTTGTCTTATTATGAGTAAAGTTTAGCTTCCATTTAACCGTAAAGAGCCTCAAATCATTTAATGCCAAGCAATAGTTCTGTAGAGTTTACCGTTATAGCAGTGAGTCTTGAAAGGGGGGGGGGGGGGGGGCTTTGCATGACGATCGACTTAGGCCAAGAGCACGTTACATAAGAAATTTTGCAGACTATATATCCAGCTTGTGCAAACAAATAACGTACTTGACAAGAAAAATGCAAATTGTGCATTTTTGTAGCTCCTAAATACAAAGAAAGATAAGTACGTTGCGGTATATAAATTGATGCTTCGTTTAGAACAAAGTGGTGATAATAATTGTTAGGGTTTAATGTCCCAAAACCACGGTATTATCATAAGGGACCTCGTATATAGTGAAGGGCTCCGGGAATTTCGATCACCGAGGGTTCTTTAACGTGCACGTGTATCTAAGTACATGGGCCTCAAGTATTTTCGCCTCCATCGGAAATGCGGCCGCCGCGGCGGGCTTCAATCCCGCCGGATAGAACAAATGGATGCGAGGGTATCGAACTGCGTGGACATGGTACCACATGCTGCATAAAGTAAAACCCAGGGCCCCCATTTGCATAGGTGTGTTTACGCTAGCGAAGCCCGTCAGAGGATATTTCAGCCAATCACGATGCTGAATAAATCATTAACAAAGTCGGCTGATCAGTGAGAAAAAGCGTTTTGGAAAGAGCATTTTTGTGGATTCAACCTCAGTTTTCGTGACGGAAGTGCAATAATGATAGCGGATTTCTGTTTTTTTTTTTTCTCCGAACTGCGGGTGCCATTACCGGGTGACAATTTCTGTTTGACAAATGGGTGTTCAGCGTTACTTTGGCATGATTACTCGCTGGAAGAGGTTGAAATATTAGCTAGTTGGCGTTGAAAGACACCTGCTGAACTGGAGCCCTCAGAGTTGCACGAAATTCGATGTGGCAATCCTCGAAAGTTATCATAATGTGTATTAGGGTTAATATAACAGTTGCTGAGGTTTTACGGGCTCAAACTACGATATGATAACGTGGTAACACATTAGTGTTCTATTCATTTTTTGTCGCATTTCGTAAAGAACGCCGTGGGTGAATGAAAAGTAGGCATAACTACACGCTTCCTCGCAAGTTTACAGGTTGATAGATCACAACTCCTAATAAATAGGGACATGTTGTAACCAGTCATCGGCTCCAATCGATGTATACGTGTGTTCACAATGAATTAAATAATATACGAATAGACTGGTGTAATTATCCAAATGGGCCCTGCTACACATTTTTCCAACTAGTCAACTAATGAGCTCAATAAAGGAGCCTATTGCCTCGCGAATCTACCGCCGCAAAACATTTCAGAATCTCTCAAGTACGAGCGGAGTTACGGCGATTCGCCACACGCTTTAAAGGGCCACTAAACAGCCTCTAATTATACCATAAATTAGTGCATTATTCTCCCTTGGCGTTTCTCGTTTCTGCGGCCCGATTCGTGACGCCAACAGTTTGCTCCCGTGACGTCAGGACGAAATGGGCTCTCGATTGGTTGAGATACGAGATATATTTGTTGTGAATTGTCTCCTGCCATGCAGTCGCATAATAGTTCTGCCTTGTCTCGCTTGACTATAATGCGCCATAAACTTATTTCACTTCGTTTTCTGCATCTGCGACTGCACAAGCCTAGATAGCGGCGTGCAGACGGAAAGCGCGAAATTTTGTGTTGCTTAGCGCTAGTGCTGACACTGCCACGCGTTTTATGAAGAAATAGAGGCGATGTCGCTTGTTGATTTGTGGGGTTTAACGTCCCCAAAACCACCATACGATTATGAGAGACGCCGTAGTGAAGGGCTCCGGAAATTTCGACCACCTGGGGTTCTTTAACGTGCACCCAAATCTGAGCACACGGGCCTTCAACATTTCCGCCTCCATCGGAAATGCATCCGCCGCAGCCGGGATTCGATCCCGCGACCTGCGGGACATGTCGCTTGTAGGAAAGCAGTGAAGGCGAGAAAGAAACTACTTTCTCGCCATTGAACTCGCTGTGGCCTTTACAGAGACTGCAGAGAAAAATCATTTTCCGTGTGTTGCCAACGTACAGTATCGCAGTCTTGAAAACACCTCTTAATGCAAGACGACAGGAGAGAAAACGTGCGAGAAGAAAATTCGGGCGGCGACACCACCTTGAGATTCCCGCAACAAACACCGCAACGTCATGAATTTTCACGGCGTCTACTGCGTCCGACGTACTTTCTACTCGGTAAAATGAAAGTACCTTGTCATCTGTCAGGGCCACAGACCTAAAATACCAAGTTTTAGAAACACGGAATATATTGAAAACAGTGACGTCAAGTGCGGAAATTCCGGCGTGAAATTTAAAACCGAAACTTCAACCTTGATTTTCTCCGCCAATAGCAAACTTTTGATAGTGAAATTTGTGGCATTAGAGTTCTCAGAGTACAGTTTATGAATCTAAACCAAGTGATTCTTTCACTTTAGCGCCCTTTTTTGAAGAAGCGCTTTCTCATTTTGTATGAGCGAGTGCGCTGAAACTACGCAGGGAGGGGCGTGACAAAGGGGCGAGAAGGCGCGTCCCTTCGTTAGCGCGTGTCATGACCTTCGGCACTTACCTTTTTTTTTTTTTCGGCAAACGTGCGGCTTGCTTTCTGTGTGATCGCGAGCACGACTCGGTTGCGTGGTGGCATCCCACGGCGGCCACGGTAACTATGCTGCTCGCCACGTTTATATTAGCCAACGGCTGTGGACTTGCTCGCCACGTTTATATTCGTCAACGGCTGTGGACTTGCTCGCCACGTGACATCAGCCTGCGGATGTGGGTATATGGCGCGGTGATGTTGATGTATGGGATCGTTTGTAAAGTCAAGAGGCAACGATTTGTAGCTGACTGGGAATTATTGTTAATTCTAGACCGCGTGCTATGCTGTAATGATTGCTTCGTGTGTTCTCAGTAGTCTCGACTACCGATAAGCTGTGTCTTTTGACCTAGCTGAAAAAGTGCTGCAGGATCCCTTAAGCATGGCGAGGACAGTTTCCGACGTCCGGAATTGTGATTTTTTTTCTTTTAAATGTTATTCGTGTTGCCCTGTCTTTAGGCGGTATGGCTCTTCCTCCTCCAAGCAGGTGATATATACCCGCAACAGCTAGCAGTGTTTTCATTTGCTGTGTGACATCTTTGTGCCAAGTAATGAACCTCCGAAGCAAGAGGATCATAGGGCAGTAATTGGCGGCATCGTTCTTTCATCCTTATAGGTCATGCACGATCCAACAGCAGCGTTTGATGGGGGCCTTTGAAGACCACGACACTGCAGTTTACGGAAATGCTTTTTTGTTTTTTGCTCATACATCCACTGAAATTTCATTATTTCAGGGACATTACGAGATACATATTTTCATTGTACGTTATGTTTTTCTGTTATTTTTAGTCTTATTTTTCGCTGGCCAAGTCTCCAGAATAGCCTAAAAAATGTGCGGCTATGATACTTCTAAAAGCGGGCTTGTTTGTGACGCCCTGATATCTTTCAATATATTTGTCGTGGGACAAGTTTTAATCCCTATCTTAAATTAGGGGAACCAAACACAGCTTGTTCAGGGTAGTACAATAACTATAGATTGCTTAAGGCAAACTGCCCTGCTCATACATGTAATATTTCTACCGTTGCAGATCTCGGGAGCTGATTAAGCAAGCAATCCAAGACAATGATTTCATGAAGAACCTGGAAACAGTGCAGATCAAGGAGATAACCGACTGCATGTACCCAGTCGAGTATGCCCAGGACAGCCTCATTATTAAGGAGGGCGATGTTGGCTCTGTTGTCTACGTCATGGAAGGTGAGACACTATACTGCAACAATAGAACTGCACACCGTCTTTGGCTGAATATACAGAACTCATTTGTTATGAATCTTCTATCCTGGGAAATTGCATTGGCCGAATGAAATGCATTCCTACATGGCTTGTCACGACCTAAGAATGGAACAAAGCGACGACTCGTTTAAAATAACAGATAGCTTAGCGAGTTTAGTTCTTAGTCGGCGTTTCTGGTGTCTTATCATCTTTCTTACGTCCGTGTTTGCACGCCCAGTTTTTTTTTTTTTTTAACGAAGGCACGTTTCATAACAGATTGCAACTATGCGGTGTAAGGTCATGAATAGAAAACGAAGGTAGGGCGTCAGCTAAAATCTTCGTAGAAAAGTGTTTATTCGCACGCAAATTATCAACAGTATATTAATCGATGTGGTACGATTGTTATCGTACTTACTCGCGTAATTAGCGCTCCCATAAAATATCACCCTACTTTCTTAAAAAAAAAATTGTATTTTTTCGTTCTGGGGGTGGGGGGGGGGGGGTGCTGAGTTGAAGCACGAGTGGTAGGAAGCGTTTTAATCAGTGCGGCCATGACGTTGCCGCGTACGCAAATATTTAGGCAGAAATGACTTGCCGGGGAATCGTCATATGCTAAAGGGAGCCGCTTTAATACGGTAGCACAGTGTCAAACGTGTCCCTTTAAACATTTCAACTTCCGGGACTTGTGGGTCCTCTAATGAGTGAGTGCGTGCACGTGTCGGTATGGTGCTAGGTGTAATCATCTTTCCACCCGTATACCCTGACATAATTTCACTGCGGTTGCCATTTTGTCCTTCAAACACATCACACAGTGCATTTTCCGTCGCCATAAGCGAATGAAGTACTAAATTACGAGGCGCGAACGCAGAATAAGTGACACTGTCTTGTAAAGTTTTTGTGATTTCGAAATCCTTGTGATATCGCAAAGCACGAAGAAGCGTCTGCAAAGGCTGTTTAGCAATAAAACATACATCAAGTCATGCATTTATATAGCCACACATATTCATGCAAACGTAAAAGCGGAGTGCACAATGTTGAGACTTGCGAAGCGCTGTTTGAACACGAAGAAAAAAAGCGCGTCACAAATGTCAACTATGTGCAACCAACTAGCACCTACTCTGGCCCTTCTAGGAGTGCACCAAGTTCTTCTTCATCAAATTGCGCAGAAGTATACAGGCTTCCTTTTTTTTTCTTTTTTTTGTAGCTCCTACATGAGGTTAACACATAATTGTCTCAGTAACGCAACATATATTGTTGTATGTATACAGAACATGAGTTAAACACTCACAAATAAAGCAAGAAAAAAACATTGACCATGAGGCAAAACACGACTGCGACCGAAGACCAGAGGCCCAATTGATCGGCAGATTGCACATCTCTCGCACGTAATATGAAGGTGAGCTTGGCTTCGTGCATTAATGTAGCAGTGGAGGTTGTATCCATATATTCTTATTAGGCTTCAGTCAATGTGCTTTATTCACCAACCATCGACTCAAACCGCCTACAGCAAAGCACCGCGGCGTACATTTGTATACGCGTCGTCGCCCGCCTATTCACACTTATGCGGCGACGGTGCTGCCACCTTTCCAATCTTGCCGCCTATACTAACGGTCTAATAGTTCAAAACGTAGTTGTGACGAATCTTTCACTGTACAAATACGTACAACATTACGATATATATGTTTCCTTCGATAAATTGTAAAGTCGTTTGTATGCGTACAAGGTGTACAACGGGTATGCTTCTCTCGTGGTGGTTCATGACAGTGGCAATTAGGGGTGTTAACTTAGCGAGAAAGTCGCTAAATTTAGCGTCTTTTCAGTCCTTCAAGCGACATTTATATCTCTTTCGAGTCTCAGTGACTTCATTGGGGACTTCCAAGTGGTAAAGTATGCCACTCAAGCCTATTACAACTACTAAGTAGGAATCTGCGCTCAAATTTAAAGGCTCGTTACCTCCTGTCGAAAACGAACGAATAAAAAGCACACCGTGCCTTCTGTAGGAGCGAATTTTATGCGAAGCTTCTCGTTTTAAGGGAACATGCTAGCGCTACCAAGATCAAGAACACATACGAATTATATTGCAGTTCTCAACAGAAGAAACTCCAGTTTTCAGCTGAAAAAAAAATTGCTATGACTGGGAAAATATTTTTAATAAAAAGAAACGAGCCTTCCTGTAGCGAAGGTGAAGCCGGTCTCTGCATGTTGATATGTGGGGTTTAACGTCCCAAAACCACTATATGATTATGAGAGACGCCGTAGTGGAGGGCTCAGGAAATTTAGACCACATGGGGTTCTTTAACGTGCACCCAAATCTGAGCACACGGGCCTACAACATTTCCGCCTCCATCGGAAATGCAGCCGCCGCAGCCGGGATTCGAACCCGCGCCCTGCGGGTCAGCAGCCCGGTCTCTGCATGTTGCGTGTTCATAAGTGAGCACACGGCTTTCCTCGTCGCTGACCACCTGTGCATGTACGCGGTAAGCTATAAACCTTTTCACGAACGTCTCCCTGTTAATATAGTTAATATATTAACTCTATGGCTGCCCTGCCACGAGTTTCTTGATTTGCAGGAAAATGACGGAGCGACAGCTATAGCAAAAAAAAAAGATAAACCTTCTTATAAAATCACGATACAAATATTACTATTTTTGTGCACATGACAATTGTGCACGCGCATGAACCGTGCACTCCATTGGAATCAGTTTCCGATAGATGGCCAGTTTTCAACACGGTGAATTCACCGCTAACTTGAACTCCCAAACAGAGCCCACAAAGGATGTTTTAAGAATGATCCCTATGCACATCTCCAAAGGACATCTTAATAGCCACCCTGTTGGGATGGCCCATATGCACTTGTCCAAAGGACATCTAAAAAACCCCCGTGTTGGGGTGTGGGACGTCGGGATTTTTTCGTGAAGTCCTTTGGATGTTGTGTGTTGTCTGGGAAACTAAAAGGTAAAATTCTGAGGAAAGTTACTATCATAATCAATAGCTTTCCGCTAAAACTGATGACTTTTGATTTTGGGATGATGCATCCTGGTGACTTCACAAAAAATGTCATAGTTTCGCCAAAATGGCGAATTAATGAATGCGATAGTGACATATTGGAATGTTTTACGAAGCAAGGCTAGCATTTTTAGGAGCAATAATAAATATAGTAAACATGCGCCTGCTAAGTAACCAATTTTCCTGCGGCGCGGCCACAGTAGATGGCCACAACAAGACTCATGCGTAGTGACGGCGCTCATGAGAAGCGCCTCCCGTGGGTAGCGCATGCGGGTAAAAAGGGCTATACGTCGTGTGTCGCCGCTGGTGGCAGTTTGTTAAGGCCAAACCTCATAAGCGCGAAAATGCACGCGACAGCGACGAGCGACGCGACGTAGATCGGCTTCGCGCGATCAGTCGCTAGCGCAGGCAAACCTCATTCACGCGACGGCTTCGGCGAGCGAATTCCACTGTTGATGGCATGAGGCCGTCTACTCGCACCAAGAAAACCGCGTAGCGAGCGGTATGCAATTTAAAAATAAGATATATTGTTGTGTAATGAAACGTAAAGTGTTCATTATTGCCTTGCAGCACTTCTTTATATGCACATGCGCGTGCATAGCACATGCGCGTGCATAGCACATGCGCGTGCATATGCGCGTGCATATGCGCGTGCATTTTCGCGCTTATGAGGTTTGGCCTTAGGGCCAAACCTCATAAGCGCGAAAATGCACGCGACAGCGACGAGCGACGAAACAGGGCGCTCGCGCGACGTGTCGCGTGCTCGTTTTTGCGCGATCGCTCGGTTCTCCAGATTTGAAACCGTCGCTCATCGCCCGGAAGTGCTGGGCTCAAGCAGCCAATAGCGAAATACCAGAAAAGACAAAGACTACATAGGTTCACGTGACCCTGCCCGAGTCACGTATGCGCAACAAGAAATAACGCAATGTTTATTACGCATGTGCATATAAAAAAGTGCTGCAAGGCAATAATAAACACTTTCCGTTTCATTACACAACAATATATCTTACTTTTAAATTGCATACCGCTCTCTACGCGGTTTTCTTGGTGCGAGTAGACGGCCTCATGCCAGCAACAGTGGAATTCGCTCGCCGAAGCCGTCGCGTCAATGAGGTTTGCCTGCGCTAGCGACTGATCGCGCGAAGCCGATCTACGTCGCGTCGCTTGTCGCGTGCATTTTCGCGCTTATGAGGTTTGGCCCTTATGCGTAGAGCACATCTACATGTGGACGGCTACTTCCGGTACACTTTTGGCACCGTTTCTTTTTTTGTCGAGATCGCAGCCCATCGATGTTCCCGCCTGTTGTTGGGGCAAGAGCCGCGCGCGCGCTGATCGTTGCGGTGATAGCTCAGCAACCATAAGCCCCCCCCCCCCCCCCCCCCCCCCCCCCCCAATCGCTCACGAGATAAGCGCGCGCGCGCAGACGAGGCCGGAAAGGTATGTTCCCTCTGCCCCTCTGCCGAAAGAAGAGGCTAGCGCATCTTTCTCCGCATATATACACGCATATACATATACGTGAATGACGACGGCGGCGACGGAAAAAACCAGCCGGTGGTCCGGCTGTTTTTTTGCCATCGCAATAAAAAGAAGTTAACAGCACTGGTGGAAATCATATTATATACTGAGCGGTTATCGCTTGTGCTGCCACTAGCACGCAACATGTTTGTAATTCGCACAGTTACCGTGCCATCATCGCTGTGTTGTCGCTTTATATCTTTCAGTAGCCATGGCAGAATGCTTATACGTATATGGTCGTCTGCAGGCGTAACCCTAGGAAGCTCTGCAGTTATGGCGCATAAGGGCACCTCAATGTTAGTGGGAAACGAAGGAACGCTGCCCAGGTGCTCTAGGTGCGCAAGCGAGCATTCTACGTGGTATTTTAACAACGGGGCTGTTTTAAATTGAGTTCAGTTCGTGCCGGGAGACCGCTTGAAACTATTGTCATCATGTCGAGGCAATAGCATGATAGAGGCTATAGAGAGAGAAATAGGGTGAGCAGGGGTGAATGGGGAGGGTATCAGGCGAGTGGCGATATGAGGGCGAGGAGAAGGGGGATAAGGTAAGCCTTGTATAGTATAGCTAGGCTGCGGGAAATGGAAATGAGGGTAAGGAGCAGTTATCTGAGGGGAAGGAGAGAGGGAAGAGTATAGCATATCCATGTATAATATATAGCAAAGGAATGGGAAAGGGAAGTGAAGGCAGGAGAGTGAAAGAGTTAAGCATAGCCATTCATAGAACAAGGGGTGATGAAGGGAACTGAGCCTGAGGAGAGGAGCTATGTGATGTTGTGGTGAAGAGAAAGGAGAGGGTAAAGCTTATCATAGCCATTTATAGTATAGGCTGCATAGTGGAGAAGTTGAAAAGGGATGTGAGTGTGAGAACACTTGATGTAGGAGTGAGGAATAAGGGTCGCATGAAACATAGCATAGCCACACGTAGTTTAGCACAATAGCAAGAAGGGGGGAAGGGAAGTGACGATGAGGAAGAGTCATGTGAGGGGGAGGAGGAAATGATGAGAGAGGCGATCTGTGGGCCGAAGGCATGCAGGTAGGCAAGTGGAGAGGAGGCTCCTTCAGTGCTAAACCATGTCCTCCTTCACATAGTTTGCGTCACTTTGCATTTCATTGCTGGGGTTCCCCTCAGCTCCATTGTGAATTGGCCTTTATGACGTTATTATAGTTTAAACCATGCATTTCTTTTTTATTTTGCAAAAAAAAAGAAAGTGAAGAACCTTTGAGAGCATATTCATGATACTTGTAAAAAATTTTTCCATAATATCAAGTTTTTCCTTTGTCACCCAGTTTTCATGTGCACACTAACCAAGCTATTATAGTTAGCTGGAATACAAAAAAGAGAAAGGAGAGCGTAGAAATAACAGAAGCTGATAGCCCAGTTTTCAAGCATGCACAGTTACCTTTTAATGAGTGAAGAGACTACATTTGTGGCGTGGTACCGTCGTAGTCAATATTAGTTGGAGGTAGCATTGTCTGTGTCGTCTTCTTGTTCCCATCTTCATGTGCTTGCCAGTTTCATAATGTTTCAAAGGTGGTAATCATGGAATCTGTGTTCCCGACTTTCTGTTCAGAGGGCAAAGTGGAGGTCACAAAGGAGAACAAATTTCTCTGCACCCTTGGGCCTGGAAAAGTGTTCGGTGAGCTGGCCATCCTCTACAACTGCACAAGGACAGCTACTGTCAAAGGTATGGACAGCTTCATAGTAATATGCAGGTATTTGTGTAAATACACTTACTTCCGTTACAGAAATAATGCAAGAAAAAGAACTACCCCCTTTCAATGTGAAATGGCACTTTTGAGATGCACATTTGCTGAATAATATTGAATCACTAATCTTGTGATGTGTGTATCTATATCTTCAAGCCATAGTTGGCAACCTTTGAGGAATAGGGCCAAGTTGCATGACACCAACGTGGTGTGGGTCGCACAGTCGGGTCGCAGGGCCAATTGGAAAAGAGGGGAGGAGTTATTTGCAGGCTAAGAGAAAAAATTTAGCAAACTGTAATTGACAATAGTGTAAAGAAATAGTGAATATAAATGCTTATGTTCAGCATACCCGCCATGGTGGTCTAGTGGCTAAGGCACTCGGCTACCGACCCGTAGGTTACGGGTTCGAATCCTGGCCTTACATGGAGATGAATATATTCGAGGCCTGTGCACCTAGATTTAGGTGCACATTTAGGAACACCAGGTGGCCAAATTTCCTGAGCCCTCCACTATGGTATCTCTCATAATCATTTGGTGGTTTTGGAACTTTACACACCAACAATTCTGATATTATTATTTTAAGCATGCAATTTTCACAAAGGTGCAATTTACAAACATTTATGTTACCAGGCGAAAACCACATTCGAGGTCAAAACTGCCATGTTGGCCATCTGATAGAGAGTGACTAAGGGGGTGGGTTCTGAAGTCATGCTAGGGGCTGCAAAATACTGCCATACGGGCCGCAGGTTGCCGACCTCTGCCCTAAAGCATAACATAGTAACCAAACAGATCTGCTGAAAGGATATACTTATCATTCCTAAAATATGGCTAGGGGCTGTAAGAAGCATTTCAACAACTTCATAAGGTTTTCACAGCTTCAAAATGGAAAAAAGAACTTGGAGCCCTTCTTAAACTTTCACACTGGTTGTAGTCTCGATGAGAGCTCTAATACTCTTCAGGAAGTCTGGCACAATTGTAAACAGTTGTTTGTAAGAGTAGAATGGACTTACAAGGAGCAAGTTAATGTTTGTCTTAATTGTGCATGAGACACATGTGCCTCACACACTCCTTTCTATGTGTGTACAGCTCAAATATTCAACTTTGAAATTTCCGTTCAGTCTGTAATTAAAGTATTATCTTCAGTGAAATGATGTATTAATGGTTTGGTCGTCTCTTGCAGCTGTCAGCGACTGCAAGCTTTGGGCAATTGAAAGGCAGTGCTTCCAGACAATCATGATGAGGACAGGCTTGGTCAGACAGTCTGAATATACTGAATTTCTTAAGAGGTAGGTGTTTATGATGCACATGGAGTACTTTTGTCTTTATTTATGACTAGTCATGATGGCCAACTGTCCGCCTGATGTTGAATTCCAATGGCGAAGTCGGAGCAACCGATGGACTCTGCGAGAAAGCACTTGACTCTGGGGTAGAGCAACACCTCTAAATCCACGATTGGAACACAATCTGCACTGCCGGACCAAGTATGGGGAGCAAGGTAGAAGGGAAAGTCCTTGGGTTGCCCAGAATACCTTCCATGTGCTATTCTGTTCCACTAACCTCACTGTCAAATTCTGTTGAATTACTGCTCGTACGTGGTTGTTTCATTGTCGCTATCAATCTGCAGCGAACTGATTTGCCCAGTCGGCCATGTTGTCCACCATTACTGCCGCAACACGTGACAGCGGCGTCACCCCCAAGCAGTCGAACATATTAGGGATAATTCGCCTAGCGGTCAAACACCCCGTCCTGTCACTGTCATGAAAGTACGACACGCCGAGTTCTGGCCCACTCCGCTGATTTTAGTGGAGTTACTTCCCTGCTCCTCAGAGTCACTCCCGCTCGAAATCCACTCCGACTTTCAGAGGTGTACCGACTCTTTCGCGAGTGGAAGGGCAAACCTACCACACTCGTCAGCTGTGATATGTATATATATATATATATATATATATATATATATATATATATATATATATATATATATAACCTACGAGGAAAATCGCCACAGGGGCAGTGTTGGCAAAACTTCACTATGTTATAACATAGCCTCGTAACAATTTCATTCTCCCGTGAGAACATAACTGAGTGATAACTGTTGTGTCAGAAAGCTTCGCCTTACTTGTTGGTTTCCCCAGCATGCAGCCAAGAGTGACCACTGTCAAAAGTGCCCCCCCACCCCAACTTTTCTTAGCGAGGGCTGCGCCCCCTCGCCCCCCCCCCCCCCCCGGCTGATTCGCCCATGCCGACTTTCTCATTGAAACACTTTTTGACTCCTGCCCGCACTCTGCTATTGCTATTGGAACACACTTCCTCCAAAAGGAGGAGAGAAACTTGCACCGACTCCACCATTGGAATTCAACATGAGTCTATGTGGATTACTCCCCACGTGAAAATGATTCCCATTCTCAGCTGAATTATGAAACCTGGAAAATTTTCCAGGTTCTACAATCCAGCTGAAAATGGAAATATTTCCAGCTGGAAATGGAAGGATCCTCAGCTGGAAGTAGCAAAATTTGCAGTTGCGATTCTTCATTTCCACTTAGAAATGAAACAATTTCTAGATTTAATATCACTGCTGATTCATGTGTATTAGCATGGTTTCTACAGCACCTGTTCATCCAGTGCACTGCCCAGAGCCAAAGGACATGGTGGTGAAACTTAGCAGCATTTATTTCAGCTGTTGTAGCAAGTGTTCGAACATATCTCAAAATGTTGCACGAGTTTAATCATGTCCTTGTACACCACTTTTAAAAAAGTATTCATACATAGTGAGTCAACATTAAAACGACAGTGGCACATAAAATGCAATTTTGGCGAATGCTATAGTTAAACCAATTCACATGAATAGCTCAATACAACTCTCCAAACCAGTACAATACACCTTTGTCATACACCCAAGTGCACAGCATTGCAAAGCAAGACACTCTGAATAAATGTCAAATAAATTAACTCACACAGAATTAATTACTGGCATTTGTTGCATGAATGTATACGCTCCATTAATCACGAGCACTGCATGGCACAGGGTTATTGGTGACAAGGAATGATTGCACAAACTGCCCTGTAGTACACATCGCACATATAGAAACATTGCATACTGCCAGATAGCATGACACCATGATTGCAGGCTGCATTACCACACAACTGCATTACAGGCTGCATTACCGTATTTACTGTATTGTAATGCCACCATGATTGTTACACGAGGGGTCACTTCTAATTGCACTCAGGAAAAAAAATTGACTTTGAGTGTTCCATTCAAAACAAAGCTCCTCTTTCTGGTAGCAAAAATTTGGAGAAGAAGCACGTGTTACATTATATTAAATACAGTATACAATTCATCTGCTATCAATTGTATGTACAGCAATTTTCATTCAGCTGGAATTCTTTTTGTCAACTTTTCTACTTCCTCGCTTAAACAGGAAAATTTAATGCTGAGCAAATTATTTCCAAATAGAAGCTGAAAATATAACTTCCAGAGTGAGACTGGGAAACTTCAAGCTGGATATGGCTTCTCAGTCCGGAATGATTCCTATTTGCAGCCTAGAATGGGTTTCGTTCCCAGTTGGAAATGCCATTCAACTGAAACTCGAAAACTTTCGAACTAGAAATGTAGTTTAAAGACTGGGACAGGAAAACTTCCAAGCTAGAAATGGCTATCCAGTCTGGAATAGATTTCATTCCCAATTTGCACCTGTGAATTCACATACTATTTTCATGTGGGTTATAGTTTGAAAAGCTGCCAAAAATGAAAAATTGAGTCTTAACGATATTGTTGGGGCAGTAATTCGATGTTGCTCTTAACTGTGGAGCATGCGATGTGTGTGTGTGTGCGTGTGTGTGTGTGTGTGTGTGTGTGTGTATATATATATATATATATATATATATACCAGGTTCTTTGAACGTCATTCACGCTGGACCCGACGTATTGTAGGCAAGAAAGGGGCGACGAAACTTTCATGGAAGCGTCTTTACTAAACGTTTTCAGCTGGTGGACCAGCTGAAAACGCTCTGACGAAGGCTGGTCCACCAGCTGAAAACGTTTAGTAAAGACGCTTCCACGTAAGTTTCGTCGCCCCTTTCTTGCCTATATATATATATATATATATATCATCTGCTGAGGCCAGGGCTAGCAGGACCAGTGCAGAAGTTATTTGTGGAGTTTCTGCTATGCTTTGCCCTTTTCATCATAACACTTTAAATCTTTCCTTGTAATAATAAATTATATTTAGGTGATTCCACTGAGCACTTTATCTTTGGAGTAGGCAATCAATGAACCCCCGCAATGTGTGTGTGTGCATGTGCACACACACATGTGATGGTTTATGCAATTAGTGCACTATCAGTTATATTGTTGCACTTTATAACACCATTCCTTATCACTTTTTTCCAGTGTGCCTACATTCAGGAAACTTCCCGAGGAAACCCTTGTGAAAATATCTGATGTTCTTGAAGAGGTATGTATGTGCATTCCTGTTTTAGAGTATGCAAAGCTGTTTCATTTGTTTGCAGTATGTTTGAGTCTAATGCTGGAAATATGGTTTTTATTTATTGCATGGTTTATAAGTCCCCATTGGATGAGGTAACTGGTTATAAAATGGGAATGCAACAGGATGGTTGAATTATAGTTTTCTATCCAATACTGTCGTTTTGTGTTTCTCTATCGGACAGATTAGGCATGCACAGAGGGTGCTTGAATTGCTTAGTACATAGTGTTAGAGGGCATGAGGGTGTCTGAATGCAGGGGATTATAAATGGGCTATTGGGTTTCTCCTCCACGGCTCTCCACTTCTGCTGAAAGGGGCTGTTGTAAGGTTTGTACGTTACAAGCAAATAATCATGGACAAGTGTCACTTGCGGGTGCTGATCAAGCCAGGCAAAATGGGAGCTAGCGTGCCATTTTGCCTCAAAAATATTCAGCTGATTCATTCTTCATTACAAACAAACCTTGATGAGCTCGCATATGACAAATCATTGGATGAATTAAAATCAGTCTCAGAATTTTCTTGCTGGAGTTGGCATATATAGAGAATTCGCTTATAATAGATGTAGGATATAATAAAAGTATATTCGCAAAGGAATCCACTTCATTGTGTCAATGTTCACTTGTTGCTGAACCATTAAAGAACATTTTTCTGGCAGCACACTTCTGGATGACCCTTTATAGCTATATAAGAATTTATTTTATATATTACTGGTGATCGGCTCTTTTAGGTACTCACATCATCTCTAACTCATGGACTCTGTAGATGGCCTCTCAAAATTTCACACTACTCAATGTGTGGTGCAGTCTATAGTTCATAAAAACTATTGGAACACACACAATATATTTTTTCAACTGTAAAGAGTAGACTAATGTGGTAGAATAACTCTTATATCTAGTACTCGCTGCTTGAGCTATAGAAAAGGACGTAACTTTGCCTGGCAGAAACTGAGGGTAGTCTAAAGGATAGGCATCTTTTTCAATTTCTAGAAAAAATGCTGTTAAGAGAACTTGAACACATTTTAACACCAAATATATGTCACCAACTGGCCCAGCTTTCAGTCCTTCTGTTAGAAGAATACTGTTTCTTAGTTTCTCTGTTAACAATATTTTTTCAGACTACTTATGCACAAGGTGACTACATCATCAGGCAAGGAGCCAGGGGTGACACATTCTTCATCATCAGCAAAGGAACTGTATGTGTATTTCTTTGACATATTACTACTTATGTTGACATCAGCATCATAATGTGGTGACGTAAAACATAACATTGCAAAAGTTGTGTTCCTCTAGCCCCCCCCCCCCCCTCCCCTTAAAAGATATAACCACACTTGAGTCCTTGCATTTTGCTGCTCAACCTACAGGTCTTTCATAACAAATGCAGTGCCATTAGGTTCCCTCACTCTTGTAGCAGCTGAGCTGCTTTACTGAAGCAGTGTGTTAAGGGTTGCTAGTCCGTGAATTTTTCTGGGTTTCCTGCACTTGTTCTTAGCTTATCATTCAGCACTATAATTACATTGCATACGCAACTGCAGCAGGAACAGCAATAATACCCTGTTCACTTGTGCTCATTAGCAATGAGAAAACAGTTTTATGAAGGAAAAAGGAGCGAGTTGCAAGGGAAATGTTATCTCCTCTTGCACGCTCTCTCGTACACCTTTTTTATTGACTACTTAGCATGATTTAGAATTGTGAGAGAAGTTTCTGGTGCAAAGGAAATGAGAGAATTCCCGCCTTTTGGCTGTGCCAGGTCAAGGTAACCAGGAAAGCACCAGAGGAGGCCAGTAGCACAGGAGAGGAGATCTTCATCAGGACCCTTCACAGGGGTGACTTCTTTGGAGAAAAAGCACTGCAAGGGTGAGTGAGCTGCTTTGCTCTCTCTCTCATCATTTCTTCAAGATGCCCATATCTGTTCTTGCTTTTTGTCCCTCTCACACATGCACATCATGATTTTTCTAGTGTGTGATCTAGGTGAGTGTGATGCTTGCTGTCAATGATTGTGGCATTATACATCTGCTATGCGCGTAGATATGCTCGCTTGATTTTTGCATTTTTTTTCTCGTATTCGGGTACTGTATTTCATTGCTGCCGAGTTGAGCAGCCACAATATACAATATAGGAACTACCCTGTCTTTTGTCCCTTCATAGGAATGGGGTGGGGGGGTGTTCACGCTCAGTAGGGTAAGCATACCGTGTTTCTTCCTCTTCATTTTTTTATAAGATGGCGACAACATAGATAACAATGCGCATTGTCAGTTTATTATATGGTAGCTTAACTGCTGTAGCTAATTTCTACAGCACTGTTTCTTGCTTTATGTTTGCATAAATACTAGGATGTATCAAGATCTTATATGTGTTCAGTAAAATTAAGTTTATTGACCTCTCCGGGCCATTTGTTTCGCTTTAGTAAAACTTCCAAGATATTATTGCTGTGAATAGATTGGGTATATTTCATACTGTGATTACTTTCATTCGTAGAATTTTTGCATCACATAAAATGCAGACAGTAAAATATAAATTTTTCTGTGTTATTTGCAGTGTTTTGTTTACTAAATTGTGCTGATATGTGGGGTTTAAAGTCCCAAAGCCACCGTATTATTATGAGAGATGCCGTAGTGTAGAGCTCTGAAAATTTCAACCACCTGCTATTCTTTAACGTGCACCCAAATCTGAACACACAGGCCTACAGCATTTTCGCCTCCATCGAAAATGCAGTGCCCGCAGCCCGAATGCGATCCCGCAACCTGGAAGTCAGCAGCCGAGTACCTTAGCCACTAGACCACCGCGGTGGGGCTACTATAATTTTGCGCTAGAATTCTGGTGCATATTGAATGAGATGTGTGTGTGATTGCTACTTAGTGCACAGATGTACTATTGAGTATTATAAGAAAAGCATCCATCCTATTAAGTCATGTATTCCGTAACATTTTCAATGCATTATATGGAATTTGATTTATAGGAAAAAGCGGCCTTCTGAGGTGGAAGTGTCAAAAATATTAAGCTTTAAAAGTGTAATGTCCATTTTTCTTTCTTTTCTCATTCCATTTTGCTTTTCCCTTGCTGTCTTTATGTCATTTCAAAAATAGTTTCACTTTGCATCATATGCCATTTTGTTGCATTCTTTTTTACAGTGAAGAATGTCGGACAGCTAACATAATAGCAGACGATCCCGAGGGTGTGACATGTCTAGTCATCGACAGAGAGTGAGCATGCTCTTTTAGTTTCTTGTTTACCCCTTAGTATTTTCTTCTTCGACAATGATTTACCGGTACATATTGTGCAATGTGCTCAGACTAAATCTGCAGTTATTTTTCGTGCTGCTGTGTGCGTATGTAAATGCCAATAACCATAGAAACATTTACAAAGAGTATTCAGAGCATCTAAGAAAACATGTTGGTACAGTACAGTACATGCATTATACCGTAAAAGTCAAGATCAGGTAAGGTAAACTGTTATTAACTGTCGATGATATCACTGAATTCAAAAACCTTAAGATTGACCAAATTGCTCACAAATACTATCACAAACACCTTAATTGATTGTCACAAATTATGGCAGGAGCCAGTGGCAGGAGCAATCTCAGCTTATTTCCTGTATCCATCATAATGCCCAAAACTTAAAGGGGCACTAAAGCTAACTATGTAATTGGTTTAAGCTGATAAAGACTATTTTACTTGAGCACTCCTCTCTTGATAATTTCACTATGACAGCTTGATTGGCCTGGTACAGGCAGAGTAATTTTAGCTGCAACAGTTTTCTAACAGGGCAAATCTGTAAGCTGTCCGGTATATTTTTGAAACACTTTCGTGACGAAAGCCAGCTTAAGATGAGCGCGTTATGCAGTGTCATAATATTCACTGTTTCAGTGCTAAAGTACCATGGTAATTAGCAGAAAAAAAAACAAAGCCTGTTCATGTTTTGTGGCTACATGCTCTCATCTCATGGACTTAATAGCGTTTTGTCTCTTTATCTTTTGAACACCCTTCCCCTTCCCTTTAGCTCATTCAACCAGCTGATGAGCAACATTGATGAAATTCGAGGCAAGCAGTATGATGAGGATGTGGGTGCAAGACAAAGGTGGGACAAATTCTCCTATTTCACATCTCTGAATTGCTCGGTTGATTAAAAATTTTACTGATAAGATATTTATCACCCTGAAATTGCAAAATCTTCTTAGAATGTTTATTATCCCTTTTAGTTGGCTGCAGCATAACAGTTTTTCATGCCCTCATAAGCAATCTACATTCAAAATTGTTGCCTTGAGAAACATTGAATACACCTTATGATATCTGCAAGCCAACAAGTACCACACCTTTCACTGATATACACAAAAGTAACCGATGATTCTGGTTTTGCTAATGTTATTGTTTGGCAAACTCATTCACACTGCCCTTGTGTACAGTGCAAGCAGTTAATTGGCTAACAATGTCGACTGCCTATAACAAATTTTAAATCTTCTTCCGTACTTGCTTTATGATTTGTGCCAAGCACAGTTTTTGTTCTTGAAAAGACATCGCTGACATCAGCTGCATGGCCAACACTGGCTTTCATAGATGGTTGCTACTTAGCGGCCCATATACAAACTTCATTCATTCTTTCAATAGAAACTTTACCAAGTTTTATTTCTGGCTTGCATACATATAGATATGTGATTTCGCTCTTGTTGTTTTTATGCAAAAATGTTTCCAAGTGGAAAGTTGAGGCAACTAACTGAATTTGGCATTTCTTTACTCTCTCTAATACGTACCATTTAAATAACAGGCAATCCTTTTACATGGATACTTACATAAATTTTCACAATAGATCTAGTTAAGTAACTGGTGAGACATTGCAAAAACTACATTGATTTGCTCAATGATATCCGTAATAGTATTTTGTGGGTACCCTGTGAGGTAGTAGGTAGTTCAGCTCAAGTTGCTTTAAAGATATTCTGTACGCTATGCAGCATACTTCTAGCCTTTCTTGATTTCATTGTTTATAACTGCATACATGTAAGCACTGTTGTGATAAGAGGCAAGAACAGCAATTGCCTATTTTTGCATATTGGTATGTATGTGTCAAGAGGTTGAATCATTCTAATTTGCTTCTCTATTTGTTTTGATGCTTTCTTTGGAAACCTATCGTATGGGTAAGCATGTCACGTTGTGTAAGAAGTGTTTTTACTTTATATACATTCATAGTGCCTTTTATACGTTATATAGGGTGCATCATTGTTCTGAGTTTCTTGTAATTTCTTCTTTAAACAGGATCAATGAAGAATTCGCAAACTTGAAGCTGAGCGATCTCCGTGTAATAGCTACACTGGGAGTTGGTGGCTTTGGCCGAGTTGAACTGGTAGGAAAAAATTACCATGATAACCATCTTTATTTGATATTGATAATGTCTGGCTATGCAACTATTTGGAAAAATATTTGTTCTGCTCTTACGTCTTGAGTAAAGTGCTGCATTAAGAAATGGCGTAGCATATTAGATGTACTATAATAATTGCAGTCAGTTTGTTTCATGTCATTAAAAAACCCAGTTATTAGCAATCCTTGTTACGTGTATGCAAAATATGTGACAATTTCTGCAAGCTTTCCTTTCAACGTGCCAACTGCTTACAAAGCGTTTCAACTGCTTATACAGCGTGTCTGTTACACTGCACAAGTAAAAAATTTAGTGCTGCAGTTTGGCAGTGCAAGGCTATCATGATTAACCAAAGGATTTTCATGACATAATGTTGGTTCACAGGCAAGAACACTCCCAAATGAGAAGACTTGGAATAGAACGTACTAATATTAGGTAAACTTGTACCTGAGAAGCCGAGCTACTCTTTTGTAACAACCGTTCTAGAAAGCACAGTCAGCACTTGTCATACTAAGTCACTTTGCTTGACTTCATCAGCTAACATTTATGCGTAGATGCATTTTTGTACACTTCAGAGTAGTCACTGGCACACACATCAGCTCAGTAATGTACTGTTATTTCAGACATGCACAGCATGATAATTATTGCCCATCATACTGTCAGAAGACAACTTTTACAAATTTTCCGATACTGTTGATGTGTCTTGCAAAATAGCAAAATGATGATAGTCGGGGGAAAGAGAACACTGGCAGAAAGTAAAACATATCTGTAACAGTGAATGACAGTGTACATTACATTTATGAACAAGCACGCAGAAACATTTCCTAAAAATAGTCATGATTCTTCATGCATTTTGTCGTTAACTTAGTCTGATTCACTTGTTTGGTTCTTGCCTTCTTTAGGTACAAAGCATGCAAGACCCAATGCGCTCATTTGCACTGAAGGTCATGAAAAAGGCACAGATTGTGGAGACAAGGCAGCAGCAGCATATCATGTCTGAGAAGATGATTCTGGAGGAAGCCAATTGTGACTTCATCATTAAGTGAGTTTAGGCCTTCAAGAGTAGTGTCTATTGCAAGCAAACAGATACCTCTATGCATGCTGTGCATGAAGCCAATTGTGACTTCATCATTAGATGAGTTTAGGCCTTCAAGAGTAGTGTCTATTGCAAGCAAGTAGATACCTCTATACAGCTTGTGTATACAATGTTCCATGTTACTTGAGCAAAGAATAAAAATAAAAGGTGCTTTGGGAGTGAATTGACTCACACACATACAATTAACAATAACACACACACACACATGTATATATATATATATATATATATAGTTATCATACTCTCTGCTATTTTTTTTAATTTTGCAATAACCAACTGAATTACCAATATTTTTGTTGCCTGAAGACCCAAAGTATGATCGCATGGTAAGCACCTTGAGAAACCACCAACTGAATGGTTTCCTGTACATTACACCTTATGCAGTCCTTTTTTGCACATTGCAAAGAAAGCCCTCGAAATATGAAAGAAGCCGAGGGACATAGCACTAGTGTACTGCTACCATGTTGTTCTCAAGCATGGAATCAGTAAACCGGGTTGCTGGGAGCATATGAGTGCATTATTGCCTTGGCAGCACTCAGACAGCAGCATGCATTTGCACCATGATACAACAGACACTAGGGGCCCATAGGCCAATTGGCCTCCAGTGTTTGTTTATTGGATCATAGTGTTATGAATTTTGTTGGATCATAGTGCATGAATAACACAAATAGTTTACAATGCTGTAGACTGTACAGTAGTACAGTTTTTGGCTGGCACCCTGTGTATTAAATGTATATTAAAGCAGCGGAATTCTATCTGCTCCATTGCATTAATTTTTGCTTGCCCATGCTGGAATATATCGGCAGCCTTTGGCATGCAAACATTTAAGGTCTTATATCATAACAGTTGCAAATAAAGCCGATTTCCAACTTGCTTGCATCAAACCAGCCAAACTTACTCAACCCCGTGCATTATCAATCGCGTGTTCATTGGGAGGGGGGGGCAACAGTGGAATCGAAATTGTCTGACCTTGGTCTGCCGCGCTCGGAATGCTTCTCAAGTCATTTTCGCCGCAATGCAATCACGTCGTGCGAAAAAGCATACCAAAATTGAGAAAGGGCTATTAGCTGGCATGGGACGCTGCTCATTTGGTCCTTGAATTTCACAAGTGCATGCACGCATAATAACGAGTGCCAGTATGATTGCTGACATTTAAAAAACCTGACTGGCGCTCATTTAAAGCTACTTATGGTGTTGCTACGACCCTGAAACACAAAAAATAAAGACGCATGCCAGTTTTCTTTTGTCACGTAACGAACCCCCCACCCTTGCACTTTACAAATCTCGAATTTCAAAGTCCCCAGGTTGGTAAGTATAACTTGTTTCTGTACAAAAGTGCATATATTGCCCTTACTCTTGTTTATGAACTGATATTCAAACAAAATCCTAGGGTCTCCTTGAATCATAATTACCCAGAGCCTACTTTATATGTTTTAATTTCACCAGAAATTTCCTTGTCAAAATTGGAACATGTGCTTCATTGTGTTTCTAAATTCAGTTATATAAACAGTAACTCATATTTCAACCTTTGGGCTTAAAAAAAAAACAGACTTAAGTCCAGGGGAAGACAGAAGCTATAAAGAAGGAAAGCTATGGAAAGCAGTTGCAGTCTTGAAAAAGACACATTCGCTTGTCGAAACGGCAGCTCTAGCAACACCCCATGTTCACGATCATTTGATTATATATGTTATGCAAATTCGTCAGATGGTCATGCATCACTGTTACACCATGTCGTCTGACCATTGGTGTAAATGTGTGATTCAAGCCATCTCAGTATCTCTTCTTTTAGTGCAACATCAATTATATGAACGCTCGAGGAGCATATTTGCTGTCAGTGTCGCCGTTTCTGTGTGGTTCACAGTATTCACATTGGATGTTTCATATGTGTAAGTGAAAGCTTGCAGACAGTGAAGACTCGTCATTGCGTTGGGTCTCTTAATGTTTACTGTAGCATATGATAAATATATGAATATATATATAGGGACATATGACAAACATCACTATAGTGATGTTTATCTATGCTCCAGCTTTTCAGGATGAGTCTTTGGCCACTTATGAGGATGAGTATCATCTTATTTAGCATAAGCGCTATCATAACTGGCCATAAATGTTTTTTAATAACAAAAAATGAAATTTTAAAAGTTTGGGCAAGGTATGTGCTCATTGCTAGTTTTTTCTCTTCATATTCAATAAATTCTTAAAATATTGTTTTCAATCCTACTTTTTTTTTTCAGAGTTCTGAAGCTGTTTCTTTGACATTGATTCTTTTATATTCCACACATAATTCTATGTCAAAATAAAAAGTATGGTATAGTAGGTTCTGCTATCGCTAATATTTATTCTAATAAGAAAGTGAAAAATAACTCGGAGAAGGAGAGTAAACTTTGTGCTTGAAGGTTGCCCTGAAAATCTGCTTTTTCATAGGTTCGATTATCTCTTGCATGCTGCAGGTTGTACAAGACATTCAAGGACAGAAAGTACCTGTACATGCTGCTTGAGCCATGTCTAGGCGGGGAGTTGTGGACCATCCTTCGAGACCGGTGAGCGACACAATCTCTTGCACCATGCCCAGCAGCTAAAGTTTGTACTTGTTGGCTTACAAAAAAGTCCAAAGTGCCACTAAATTCTATGTAAAAATGGAGGCTACCCTCACTCTTTTTTTTTCTTTCTACTACTAGTATGTACACTGTTCAAGGTTCCTTAACTCATTTTACAGTAACATTAAAGCACTGAAGCTCTAGTACTCCTTTCTAAACATTGCTATATAGTGAGAGGAAACCTGAAGATATTCAACAAGGAGTGAGATTGGCGTCTTCAATTTAAGATGATGTTACCTCAATTTTTATTATCCTGTGAGAAGAATTTGTAATTTGTGAAAACTGGAAAGATGTTTTTTAGCTTTTTTGTGTGTGTTAGTATGTTTAGTGCACGTTTTCAATGCATAGGCTTTGGGTATGCGGTAGTATGCTTATTTGAGTTGACATCAGAGATAAAACAAGCAGGCAGACAGTTTTTCAACATACTTTTTGCAGGCTCTTCCTTTAATGATGTCACGTGATGCCTAAAGCATAAAAAAGGCTTTTTAACATTTTCTTAATTGTTGCATTGGCACTCTTATTGAAAGTACTCAGTGTCACTTTACACTGTGTCACTTTACAAGCTGGTTTGTGATGATGAAAGTTCAGCACTGCCTAGCCAGAGTGTAATTTATTTTTCCTGGAAGTGAATCAGTGGCATGTACACCCGTGACTGAAAGTGTTTTTCATTGGAAATGGGCGAATTAAATTGTTGAATGATCATATGCTCAGTGGCCTCACAGGCTACTGGTGTGACATTGTTAATGCCAGCTTAGCTCTGTATAGCTCTGTACCTTATTTATGTGCATAATTTGCACCCTCGCATAATTTGCACACCCCTAATATTTTGCCGGCTTTACTGAAAAAAAAGATTACTCCCACATTTCGCGCTCCCCGACCCGCCCGAGCCAGCTCGCCGGCGCTCACACATTTGGACCTTTCGGTGCTTCGGCCAGGTGCGCACCTCACTTTGCAGATGAGTCTCAGTCAAACAGGCTGTGAGTGCAAAGTTCCTTCTTCTGAAGACTTCCCCGGAACTAAGGTCCCTAGAATACTGCACCCAAACACAAACCTGTTCACGGGTCGCTCAAACTTCTCAAGCTTCTGCCTCCCCCTATCCCTATTCCCCGATTTCTACCACTGCAATAATGGGGAGAATGCGCGCTCGTATCGCGGCACGGACGACTTTCTGCGTCGAAAGCGTCCAAGGGCCTGTTGTGCCGACTGTTCCCCTCGTTATCTGCGTCGGTGCTGCAATGCTCACTTGGTCGATTTCGGAAGTTTAGGTTTCGCCAACCAGCCAACGCGTTTTGACGGTTTCCTTGCGATGTGCTACAGTAATTATATGTGTGGCGAAATTGAAGCTCGACGTAAATTTCACTGAAGAACACGGGAAGTGTGCCGCTGCAAAGCACTTCGACGTACTTAAACGTGACAACCGGCGCGATTGGTACACGAGAATGCAAAAGAGTCCGTGCTTCTTTATGCAAGTTTCCTGCCATTGAAGAAGCCTAATCAATTATGTGCGGATGCTTAGTACTTCTGGTATCGCCGTGTCGTGGGACCTAGTTTCTCGCAGTATTGTCAAAAGAGCTTCAAGAAAATGGGGCGTTCGAACACCCTCGACGGAACTGAGGACGATGTGCTATCAGACTTCGCAATCAGTGATTCTCATTAGACCGTGCGTGACCGGATCTGACCGGATAAAGTGTGTGCTATTTCAAAATTAACAAGTACATTTAATTAGTTTGTGCTCCAATTGATTTATTTTTTAAATTTATATACTGTGTGCGTTTTATGACTTTGATACAATATTTCGTATACGCTCGCAAAATTCCCGCATAATTTGTGCACCCAATTTTCGGTGCCCCAAAATTGCAAAAAAAAAGTGCACAAATTATGTGAGTAAATACGGTGTTATCCCTTCACTATTGCAGTGGTTGTTGGTGCTGTTGCTCCAGCCAGCAGATACTGGTTTTCATTTATGCTACTATCATGTAGTCTTTTCACTTTATTTCTTTTCAGTGTTTGTATCTGTGTTAACATTTTTGGTGTTGTCGCGGTCTAATTGTGCTGGTATACATTGTTGCAGATGATATTGCAATTTCACCTGGTTGGCGGAACTTAAAAAAGTATACTGCTCATTCGCAAGTTCGCTTGAAAACACTTTTTTTTCTATTGCTTAAACATGAAAATAATTGCAAAAGGCTCAGCTCTTCCGTCATAGTGTTAATGAGCAATAATACTGGGGAGTTGTATTTATAGGGCCCAAAATGTCTCTTGCTATCATTGGTGTTTGTCAGCTGTCTGAAGCACTGTCCATTCTGCAGTGGCAACTTTGATGACACCACCACAAGGTTCTATACAGCCTGTGTTGTGGAAGCTTTTGACTACCTGCATGCCAGGAACATCATCTACCGTGATCTCAAGCCAGAGAACATGCTACTTGATGTACAAGGATACATCAAACTGGTATGTGCTCATTAATATGTTCCACTGTTTTTTTAGGGCATGTTACATCATATTAGTTCATGCTAGGAGGCTCTCAGTGACAAGTTATTCTAGAGTTATTGCATATGAAAATTGTTATTTTTATATTGTTTAGAAAAAATGCTTTGCTTTGGACTTCCAAGCAATATAATAGTTCTCTAGACTAATATTAGTAGATGTAGAAATTAGTTTGTATGCCAGTCAGTCTCTATAGTAGTCTATATAAACCTAAATCTAAGCACACAGGTATTCTTCCCATTTTGTCCCCATTAAAATAGAACCCCTGTGCCCAGGAATTGAACCTGCACCCTCGAGCTTAGCAGTGCGATATCTTACATGCTAAGGCAATGGCGGGTCACGCAAGTACATTACTAGCATTTTTATGATGCTGTAATAACATCGCAACATTTTTAACCAGCTAATGTGTGTAATGCAGGTGGACTTCGGATTCGCCAAAAAGTTGGTGAATGGGCGCAAGACATGGACTTTCTGTGGCACACCTGAGTATGTTGCTCCTGAAGTGATCCTTAATCGAGGGCATGACATCTCGGCAGACTACTGGAGCCTGGGAGTGCTCATGTTTGAGCTCCTTACTGGCGCGTGAGTAGGCAGTTTTCATGGGCTTCATGCTTAAAGTTGTTGCATCATGAACTCTCTTGGAATTTCTGATGTTACATAGATGCAACAAGACAAATGGCTCAGTGCTTGAAAGCACTCTTTCCTCAACTGAAATTCGTAGTACAACTCTCACAGCATGCCTAGAAGAAAAGTTATTAAAGAAATAAGTTTTTGTCTTCCCTACAAGAAATGTTCAAGCCGAAGAGTGCGCATCGACGATGAACTCAAAGAGAGAAAACGACACAGGTGCTCACTTTTGTCTAAAATTTAATGAAGAAAAACAGAAAAAAAGACATACAGAGTACCATGCATAGGTCACTATGCAGAAAACTTAACTCAACAGCATCGGTTACACAGATTGCTTAAAAATTTCGCCTGACTACATGACAAGGTCTTAAAGGGGCCCTGCAACTCTTTTTGAGCATGGTCAGAAAACGCTGCCGATCAGTAGTAGAGGCTACCGGCAACATGCGAGCCAAATATTATAGTGCAGCATGCGGCCTGAAATTCACAATAAATTATCACAGTCAGCTGAAAATTGCTTTCTCTTCTCTCGACAAATCACGCAATATACCCAAAAATCACACGTAGCAAGCCCATCTATGAGCTGTTGGCTGATTTGAACATGGCGCGCTCACTCGTTACAGAGATCGCCGCAGGAGGCCGCTACTTATCCACACATGTGTGCGCGATCACACTGAAAAAGCCGCGCATTCGAAAAAAAAAGAAAAAAGTTCTCAAGGTCACGAAGCGCACTTGATGTTCCTCTGTGGTCTTGCCATCCCTCCCTGCTTAGCTTCCGGCGCTTTCGGCGGGACGAGAGGAGAGAATGCGATTGCAACGTGTGACAAATCTTTGTAACTCCGCTTTTACTGGATAGATTCTTAAAGCTTTTGCGGTGTTGAATTTGTGAGGCAATACGCTCTTCCAGTGAATTCATTCCATGGTTACTTGAAAAAGTGTTTCAGGGCCCCTTTAAAACATATCTGTTGAACCCTGCAAGGTGTGGTCCAGAAAAGAAACCTCTTTATCTATTCGTGACAGTGATCGCTGGCTTATACACTCATGACCTTCTTTTTTGACATTGAATGCCTCATAAATTTCTTTTGTAATTTTGTCTAAATGACAGAACAAAGCCGTGGTGCCTTTGCAATCCGCGGAGCACCCGCAGTCTTTGCAAAGCATTCCTAAGTGTGTGAAGAAGGCAGGACCTTTAACTTCATTCCCGTGTTCATAAAGGTGCAGGTGCCTGCCTAGCCAAGGTAAATGGGGCCACACGACATGTCAGGCTAAATTTTCAAGCCATGTGCAACATATGTTGAGTTATGCCTTTTGCATAGTGATGCATGGGTGGTACTATGTGTGTTATTTTCTTCAGTTTTCTGTCATTAAACTTTAGTTCAAAGTGAACACTTGTGTGTTATTCTCTCTTTGTCTTGGTCGTCAGTGCGCACACTCGGATAATGGTGAATACATACCGACTCGCCCAGTTTTCTGCTTTGTTGCAGAAGCTTTCGTCTTTGTTTTGACTAATTTTTCCTGCCCTTTGTTATACGCTTTCGTTGCTAATGGTTGCTAAAAGAGGCATGTGCTTCAAATAATTTATTTAAAGCAATATGTTTTCTTGCAGTATAGTTGAAGTTCGACTTAATGATGTGATCACTGCACTTCTCTAAATTGGGAAGTGAATCATTCAACCTTTCAAAATCTGAAATTGTAATACAGCAACACCTAAAAGCTACCATGGTATTGCTTTTGCCACTAACCTATGCCTGCATGTGTGGAAAGTTTGCAAGGCATGTATGAGAGAGGCCCCAACAAGGAGCCGTGCGCTCATGTCGCCTAGACATACGGGGTACCACTTCCAGATTATGCGCCCTCCACAAGAGGGTCGCGTGAACAGGTTGCTGATATGGGAAAACATGAAAAACAAATTAAGTGATTGTGCTAGCACTCATAGTGATACGGACTCGGGAAGAGTATTCGTGTTATTTGTCACATGAGCAATGCAATTACAAAAGCCATCGCCGCCATCCCTAGCACAATCAGGTACGTGATAGAGCTACCGAGTGACAAGTCCATTGTTCCCTGCATGGGTGCAGCGTGCCGCCTTGTCAAAATAAAGCTGGGATTGTGACTAGGATGCCTACATGTTATAAAGCAATAGCGTTATTCTCTGCATGGGTGCAGCGTGCCGCCTTGTCAGTAAAGCTGAGATTGTGACTAGGATGTCTACATGTTATAAAGCGATAGCGTTATAGCGTACACTCAAAGAAAAAATCTTTCTTTGTTAAAATTAGATGAAAGTGACTGATTTTTATTCAGACTTTTCTGGGAAAATTTCAAATTGTATTTGCTGACTAATTTAGTTTATGACATAACAGAACCCTATGTGTATTTGCCAGGGAATGAAAATTTCTTAGTTGTACAGTGTAGACCACTTATAAGGTAACCGCTTATAGTGCAGAACCGCTTACAATGCGGTCTTTTTCCAATCCCATTTACCCTTCCCTAGAACACCATGTATACGCATACCGCTTATTGTGCAGTCCCCCAAGATGAAAGACCGGTTATAATGTGGTTGCCTGAAATCGTTCGTGACAAATGCGGTAGCGAGTGCGCTTCTGAAAGGAGGCGCGCTGGATGCGCCGCTGGGAAGCGAACGACGAGTTCGTTACGGAGGAGGAGCATGGAGTGAACGAATGAGAGGCGGAGGGAAGAAAAAGAAAGTGAAAGAAAATGACCGCGGGACACTGCGCGGGCTCGCTGAGTAAGGGAGGAGGACGGTTGCCTCGGTGACCGATAAGCCTTTGCACCGGCGCCGACGCGGCTACAGCGTACTACGTCGCTAGCACAGCTTCGGCCGCCCGCTGCTCAATGTGGCACGTGCGATCCCGTCCTTATCAACTGCATGCGGTTAACAGTTTCCTGTCGGGAAAGACGTCGTTATCGAGCTTGCAACAAATATCGCGTTTGCTTCCCCGTCAGTAAATTGAAAACATTTTACGATTTTATGACACGAGCTTTCACTTTTGCTGCCAGTGCACTGTGGTACGTAAGCTTGGCTAGTTGTGGTCATTGCTGATCTCCCGGCCACGAACGCGAAATTCGTATCATGCATGCTGTTCTTGGTTCACTACTAGTGCAATGTTTTTGACGTCAAATCTTCATGTTTTGGACAAACTTTCCGCGACAACATGCCAAAGGGCAACCTAGGCCTAATCGGCGTTGTTTGCGCTTTGATTGATAGCGGTCGCGTGAATCTAAGTTGCGGTTTGGTACCGAATCAACGAAACTCCTTGCGGTGGCCGCACTTGACTGGATGGAATACATGTAGTTAACGAAAACGAGGGCGGCACCTGTAGTGCTCAAATAGTGGTTCGCGATTCGATTGCGATGTCTTAAATCGGGTGTGCGCTCATGAAATGGAATGGTTGGCGTCTTTCAACGCGTCAAATTCTAGACAAGATTCGACATAGTTTCTGTGTAATGCACTTAATTGAGGTGATCTAGTAGTCGGCGAATTTCCGCGATGGTCCTTTCATTCTGCCCCCTAACCACATCATTTCGCATTTATTTCATTGGCAACGCGTGTCTTTGGACGTTAAATTCTTTTAACATTCAGAAATGTAAATGTTAGCAAGCACGCATCGCACGCTTCGATTTTCGGACACGCGAAGCTGCATGTTTAACATGTTTTGCGCAAGTGTGGCCCTTGAAAAAGGTTGTTTCGGTTATAGTGCGGTACCGCGTATAGTACAGATATTCGCGTCTTCCGCGACTTACGTTATAAGCGGTCGATACTGTATGAACTCCATGAAATTTGATTTTTAAAAGATTTCATGAGTTTTCATTGCATTGCACTCTTCAAAAAAGAAAGCACCAAGTTCACTTGATACATAATGTGCAAGTTGCACCAGCACTGAAGCATCGTTTTTTCATGTGTGAATGAGGATTTATTTATCTGTGCATGTAGGTTTTTGTTTCTTTTGTTTGAATACACATTTGACTAACTCAATCAGATTAATCTTTTTGTAAGAGAGATGAAATAGGAAGTCACTATCAAGTTATCTGACTGAGCGAATTCTGAGGGCTCATTTCTGTTTCACACAACTTTAATGAAAGCATTCAGGTTGTATCTAGTCAGCTGTAACTCGCACTTCATAGTAAAAGCTAAATATTGTAGGCCAGATGTGTGTCCTGCATTCACTTGATAGTGCTTTTATGATTGCGTTAATCCTCTCTGCTATTTTTATTTTCTATGACTGTTTTTTGATAGTGGTCAGTGCTATATGTTACAGGATTTGCTGAATTCTTTCATGTTGTCATAAATAATTCAGGGGTCATATTCTTAATTGGTCACTTCGTAGTTCTGTCACTTTAGGTTTGCATCATCTAGGTAAAACAATAGAAATACATAATGTCGCATATGTGAAATGGCATATTTCTGTCTGAGCCATTTTTAATTGTATAGCGTTTGAGTGCACTCAGGTTCTTCATTGACACTCTGTGTTCTGTTAGCTAATACTTAATATAGTCAAGCACATTCAGTAGCCTCTCTGCTCAGTAGCCTCTCTGCTGTAGCATTGTCAATATGTAATGAAAACTGTCAGACAATTATTTCAAAAAAAGTATAGGCGATAATATTAGAAGTAATTGTAATATAAATGTGAAAAAGGAAAAGTGGATGGAAAGATAACTTGCCGTGGGAAGGAACCGAACCTACGACCTTCGAATAACGCGTTCGATGCTCTACCAACTGAGCTACCACGGTGGCTATCCCCCATCCACTTTATTGGGTAAGTACGTGCATTAAATGTGGGAGCGTCAGTCAGCATCGCCTTTTGCCATTGCAACGAGTGTAGGACACTCATTTTTTGCCTATTGGTGTCACGTAGCACGTGATCTTATTACGAGCTGGCAGCTGACCAATAATCCCTCACATACCACCTGAAGGCACCAAATCTGCCAATAGGTAAAAAATGAGTGTCTTCACACTCGCCGCAGTGGCACCAGGCGGCACTGACTGATGCCCCCATGTTTAATGCAAATACATACTTAATAAAGTGGATAGGATGATAGCTGCCATGGTACCTAAATTAATAGAGCATCGAACGCGTTATTCAAAGGTTGCAGGTTCAGTTCCTGCCCACGGCAAGTTCTCTTTTCATCCATTTTTCTTTCTTCACATTTACGTTACAGTTACTTCTAATAATATCCCCTATACTTTTCTTGACATAAGTGTCTGTCATTTTTTATTAATATTGATTCTAACAAGGTAAACAAGCCTTTAAGTTTACCCTTCTTTCCTTCGTTATCAATACTTGTATGTTATTATTTGTTTGAACATATTTGACAAGCGCAAATCTTGAGGACCAGCTGCAGCTGGTGAACAGGGCATGGCTATCGTAATGGCTACCTGGAATGAGGTGGCCCCCCTTCTCCAGGCATGGCATTAACAGTTCGCTATACACTATGGAATTCATTCACTCACTTTTTATACTCCAGAGTAAAAGCTATGCAAAAGTTTCAATCCAAATTTCTCCGTTAAAAAACAAAGACAGCATTGAATGTGATTCTTGAGTCATGCCACCGGCATATGTGCAACAAAATTCAACATACAATTTTTCAATTGTTTCTGATTCGACGTATCCTAAATCATGTGTAGCTGCTTTTTCACTCAGTAATGTCTTATTGCTGCACTCATCTGTAAAGTGTGAGAAAATGCTCCGAGAGTGGCAGCATTTTCAGGATGGCTGGATAACTGTACCTACTATTGCTTTGACAAGTCTTCTACATGCAAATAAATATCGATACAATGAATCTTAAGGGACTGCTAAAAATCATTCATTATTTTGAAAAGTTGTCATAGTGAAAATAAGATAAAATCTGCTCAAAAATCGCAATCATAAACATGTGAGTCCCCTTCCTATGCTGTGTTTATGTTCACGATCGTGTTACGCTCCAATAAGCGACAAAAAAACAAAAACGGTATATTATACAGAACAAGTGCACGTTTGTTTGAGGAAGAGTGCAATATATCCTGATGTTGGCAACTCAACTGCTGAACTACGAACTATTAATCGTGCACATGCTTTGTACTCACTGAGAAGCATCAGCATTAAGTAGCGATTCTTCTAATACATTAGGTAGCAATTAGTACATTAAGTAGCAATTAATACATTAAGTAGCGATTCTTCTAAAACAGTGCATGTGCGCTGTTTCAACATCATCTTTACACTAGTCGCCATTTCCTTATCACAGCCCCGCCGCGGTGGTCTAGTGGCTAAGGTACTCGGCTGCTGACCTGCAGGTCGCGGGTTCAATTCTCGGCTGCGGCGGCTGCATTTCCGATGGAGGCGGAAATGTTGTAGGCCCGTGTGCTCAGATTTGGGCGCACGTTAAAGAACCCCAGGTGGTCGAAATTTCCGGAGCCCTCCACTACGGCGTCTCTCATAATCATATGGTGGTTTTGGAACGTTAAACCCCACAAATAATTTTCTTATCACAGATGGTATGGATCATATCGGTCATCAGCTACGCTCATGTGCATACTTTGTCGTCACACTGTGCGTTAGTGAAGCATGCCCGGGCAATCATCGGCGACTTCATCCCACAGGTCACTCACATTGCATTTTTCACTCACGTAGCATTCCTTTTGTGCTGCTTCTGGAGCTCATCTTGAACACTCAACCACCAACCAAAAGGCCCGAAAACAGCCATGTAACAAGCGCGCAGGTAAAGCTGTCCGACGAAAACAACGGCAGTGGTGCAATCAGGTGCGATGCCTGATGCGAGAAAACAAGCACCAGGCAATTATGATGGCTATTGGGCTCTTGCATATTTGAATAGGGCAAGCAGATGGAAAAATACGCAGGCGTTTTGATGATTAATATAGAGCCAAAAACGAAGCTGGGCATTATTTTTGTAGCCGTGAGTAACTTTTTGAAATTGCCATTCGTTATTTTGAAGTGTTGTGGAAATAAAGAGGGATGCAATTCGATATGTAATTCTGAAGCATTCGGTATTCTGAAATTAGTAGTAGTGAAATATTTTTACATTAAACCAATGGACATTTCATCGTCATCATGAGCTTGACATTTTGAGAGGGATTTAAGGAAAACTTTATTCTGAAAAAAATTATTAATCTGAGGTTCGCTATAACGATATTTCACTGTACTACCTGCAAGGAAAACAGCATGGCTTCGGAAACAGTTCATGAACCTGCATCTAATGTAAATATCCTTGATGTCCTTGTAATGCAGACCTCCATTTACGGATCCCGATTTCATGAAGACGTATAACATCATCTTGAAGGGGATCGATGCTATTGACTTCCCAAGGTGCATCACACGCAATGCAACAGCACTCATCAAGAAATTGTGCAGGTAAGTGCAGTTAAAATTTTAACACTCAGTCTTTGCTCATTTTACCAGTAAATTGAGCTTTACTTTGTATGGGGGCTAAGATGAGCAGTACCCACTCATCTAGATATTGTGTGTTTTCATTTTTCCCTGTGCTACTAACAGGATAGTTCACCCACTTTAGGATTTCTATGGGAATTGAAATTTGATGCATGTTTGGCGTGCATGTATTCTTTCTTTATATCTTGAACTATTTGAAAAGATTTATTCATTTTAATAAAAACCCTAAATTGTAAGTTTTGAGCAGTCTTAATGTTTGGCACTCCTTATCACAACATTGTGTGCCATTCGATGGGGTTATGGGCAAGCTATAAATGGTTATTTTTATCTCCTAATTAATTATTTTAAACGTACTGCTCACTGTGGGCTAGTCACACCTGTCAGGACTCTTAATAGAGTTTTACCATTCATCCATACTGCCCATCTAGTTCAGGGCTTTTCCATAAAAGGGATGAATGGTTTCAAGCAATGTAGTATTACATTCTTCCTATTTCCTTTTATAATGGATTCAGTAAGTTTGCAAGTTAAAACAATAGTAAATACTGTATGAGTCACGTATTATGGCTAGTGCTGTGAGACTTTATTTTGACAAACCATGGTGATAGTTTAAGGATTTAGAAATACTTGTTGTTTTTTCTCAAATGTGCCTTTTATATTCTTTTCATATATAGAAGCCCCTTATTATTTTGTGCCGGCAATCAATGTGGTGTTGTTTCATGCTTACACAGAGAAGCAGCTATACTTAAGCTTTGTTTTTCTTTCAGGGACAACCCAAATGAAAGGCTAGGCTATGGTAAAGGAGGAATCCGGGACATCATGAAGCATAAGTACGTTTATTAGTCCTGCTTTTGGCTCAACTGCCACATAATTTCTATGTTGTAAGGAGCCCTGAAGCCACTCTTCCATACGGTGTAAGAGTATGATTGGTTTCTGCTTCTTTGTGGATGTTCAGTGTCATATGGGTGCTGCCTACTTCTCCATTATGCACTGAATGCAATGAAGTGGGTAACGTAGAGTAGTTCATATGGTCCTGTAAGGGCTTCATTCCTGAAAAGAAGAGGCTGCTAGGCAGCATAAGTAAATGGCGTTTCCCAAGAGCATGTTGAGACATTGTGTTTTACTTTTCTGCTAGAGAATCAATGGAGTGATATTTGGTGGAGTATATGCAGCATGCATGCAAACACTCAGGTGTAATGGTTTATGGTGTGGCCTTCCAGACTGACCATGTTTGCGGCAACATAAGCACTGTCTCCTACCTGATCACAGTGCATACATTTGGCATCTCTCATAGTCATATGGGGGTTCAGGACATTAAACCCCCTCAATTGTGATACAGTACATAATTTTAAACTCTAATACGTGGTAATATGCTGCCTGGCTTTAGTTTTCAGCCTTTTTCTATTTTGTGTAAAAGTGTTTTAAGATAGTGTAATATTGTTTCTAGGCTTGTGCAAATAGTGAATTTTAGGTTCGAAGCAAATTCAAAGCAAACAGTTATTTTGGTCGAATAATTTTGACTCAAATTCAAATAATATGTAACACATGTTATAAAGGAAAATTAGTATATTTTTTATGACCCAACTAACCTGCACTATATATATATATATACAGTAAAAGCTCGTCGATTCGAATTTCACGGGACCGGAAAAACTGTCCGAATTACCCGAATGCTGAATTAACGAATGAACAGGGAAAACGACATTTAAAATCAAGCTGCAGAAGCATACCTTTATTTGTTGAAGTATTTTGTAATTGTCGTCTGCATTTTCGCGCAGATTCCGGCTGACATCACAATTTTTCTTAACTGTTCCAAATGGCCAACAGCACGCAAGCTGTCGGGAGTGTTCAGGCAAGCGTCCTCTAATATTAACAGCGCCTCCGAGACTTCCCGTGAGGTGCGATGAGGTCGCGGCTGTATCTCCTCGCATGATTCTTCGTCAAAATCGGGGTCTTCATGGGCGCCCGTGACATCATTAATAATCTCTTGATCGGTCAGGAGACCACTCGTGGCGACACCATGATCAATCGCGATGTAGTCCTGAAAGGTCACATCTGTGGGAAGGACAGCATCGAAAGTCGGGCAGTCATCGTCGGTGGACTCGGCTGACACCTCCTCGATGCCATCGTCAGCTACTGCTGCATGCTCGGGCCTCGCAAAACCGCTGTGCCGAAAACAGTTGGCGATGACTTGCGGCGGAGTGTTTTTCCACATGTGGGCGATGATGTGCACTGCGCCGAACAAGTCCACTTGATACAACTTTCCAGCTTCTGAGCATAGGATCATTCGCTCTAGCAGATGCTTGCGGTACTTCGACTTCAGCTGAAGAGCGGACGTAATGAGCAGACGTACATCTGCTATTCGGCTGAAGAGCAGACGTAGTGTTGGGCGACAAAAAAACTACTTTGATGCTCTTCAGTTCGACTGTACAGTTATGGGCACTGCAGTTGACAACAACCATAATTATCTTGCGGTCCTTCGACGTGAAGTGCCGGTCCAACTGCTGCAGCCAGCCGCGAAAAATGTCCAATGTCATCTATGCCTTCCTGTTCACTGTGTACTCGACAGGAAGGCTTTTGACGTTCTTAAAACAACGTGGCTTAAGCGCCTTCCCGACGACAAGTAGTGGCAAGCGCTCCGTGCCAGTCATATTGGCGGCAAGAAGCACAGTTATCCTTTGCTTGCACTTCTTGCCACCAATGCATGCGTCCCCTTTGAAAGTCACCGTCTTGTCGGGCAGAGCTCTGAAAAATAGAGCAGTTTCATCTGCATTGAACACGTTACGTGGTTCATATGCGGCGATGTGCTCCAGCAGCTTCACATTTCTCCACTCGGTGGTCACGCTTTCGTCAACACTGGCCTTTTTGCCGCACACACTCCTGAAGACAAGTTCGTGTCTCTCTTTAAACCTCGCAAACCATCCTTCTGACGCTTTGAACGATTCAATGTTCATCATTGCAGCGTACTTCTCACCTTGCGCCATGATGAGAGGTCCACTCAAAGGCAGATGCACGTTGCGACAGTCAGTAATCCACCGGAGCAAAGCTTCTTCGAGCTGGGGATGAGCTGCGGTTCGCAATCACTTTCTAGAGGCATGAAACTTCTCGCTTTCGAAGGCTTGTCGAATCTGTTGTTCATTTTTCACGTATGTTCCCAACGTGCTCCGCTTCACGTTGTACTTGGTCATAACCTGCTGTCGCGATTCGCCGTTCTTCAGTGCTTCCAAAATTTCCACTTTAGTCGCCAAGTGCTTCACGTCGTAGTTCTGCCGCTTTTTTGGCGTTGCCATCGCTGTAGCGCACTATGGTGGTGGCATGCAAATACCGTCACAATGGAAGAAAAAGAGAACTCCGCAAGAAGAGATGGTTCCGACACGACAACACAAGGGAAAATGGCGTCGGAGGCGCTGAGTGGAGAAGAAAGACGACGCCGACGTTCGGTGACGCTGCGATCGCCCCCACTAGTTGATGATGATGGCGATGCCACTTAGGTTTCGGTTTCACTCCAGTGGTGCCAGCGCTGCTTTATCACACTTTTGTGTAGCAGCAGCCGTCAGCATTTGTCCGAATTAAGCGGTGCAGAGCCGAATTCCGACGAAATAATGAAGGTTTAGTCCTATAGATTAACATGCACTTTGACCGGGACCAATAGAGCCGTCCGAATTATCCGAATGTCCGAATTAACGGGTGTCGAATTAACGAGCTTTTACTGTATATATATATATTTGAAACAAGGCCTTTGCAGAGGCCTTTTTTTGTTATTCTTGCTCAGAGGAAGTAGAAACAACTTAGAATAGTAACAAGATTTGACTTTTGGTAGATTGCAAATAATAATCTGTAAAATATGTTATGTTTTAATATTTACTGTGCTTAGAGTATATAAGCTGGTATAACAAGTTTTTAAACATCAAAATCATGAATCCATGTGAGGTTGCTATCTTCATTTGACCATGAAAAAAAACTTCGCAGCAGTGTAGATTTTTAATAGTGTCTTCATGGCTTAGCATCCCTTCATTGCAGTGAAATTACCTTTATAGGAAGTTACATGCCGACTAACATATATTTAAATCGGTGCTTTCACATTGTAATATTCCTTCACTGTAGTGAAACCACCTTTGCAGGAGTTATACGTAGACTAATATGCATCAATTCATTCATATCGAATACCTCAAAATTTTTAATAATTTAAATTCGAATCAAAGCGAATTTGAATACTTTCATATTTATTGGAATATTGTAATCAAGTTTAATTGTTCTATCAAGCCTTATTGTTCTAGGCAAACAGCAACAATCAAGCCTAATTGTTCTAAGCAAACAACAACATTTATTTATTGTCTGCCAGTGAACTAGCTAACACAGAGATTGGTGTGACCCTTGCTAAATGTTGAATGGCATTAAGTGCATTTTTCATTCCCTTGCAGGTGGTTTGATGGATTCAATTGGGAAGGCCTCCATACCAGAACTTTGAAGCCACCTATAATTCCACAGGTATGCAGGCATTCACTTTGCACTTAATTTGTTCATAAGAAGCGAGAAACAGTGCGAATCAAGAAGAGTACAGAGACAGAATATCACTTATTCTGTCTCAGTCCTGTTGTCCTTTGGTTCATGCTTTTTTTGTGTTTTCTATGCGCAAGCACCAACTGGTCCAAATATGCACTCTAGCACTTAATATATATTTGTGGCTTTCATTACACAGCCAAAATTAGAGATCTGAAGCCATCGTTTTTGTTATTGTGACCTAGCTAATCATAAAAATACATATTTGTCAAAGTGAAATTACTTTTTCTATACTCCCTTGCAGTGATGCACTGACAAGCAGGAATGGGGCGAGCATTTGTTAAGCTGTACCCACTCCACCATACGTCAGCCAACTCAAACCCTTATTTCTCTTTTCCTTGGAGGGTTGTCTTATGGCTATTTAACAGAATCGTCCACAGTTTCCTTCTGAAGAAATAAAGTTCACCATCAATCTCAGTCTTAGGCACACGGCAGACCCAACGCTTCTTGGTGGCTTTCAACTGCCGTCACCAGCAGCGAACACAAAACTCGTTTACTCCAAAGGGTCTACAGGTGGCCCTGTTGCCGTTGTTTAGTGTATGATCAATCACTTCCAACTTGAAAGCAGCTGTGTAGCTTCAGTATCGCCCCATAATGTGACAAGATTACCGACACAACATACAAAACACGCGGCAATGCGCACTTGCCGCTTTGGCTTGGCTTAGATTGGATTGAATATCTGTGCAATAATTGCAGTGTTTTGGTCTGGGACAAGATCTTATATTTTAATCTATACATAAATAGGTGGAAATGTCACTAAAGCTACTAATATTTCAGGTTTTACGTGCTTAAAACAGGAATCTTAACCTAACTTTAGGCATGATAGGGGCCGAAATAGGCATTATAAAATTTTTATTAATGTGATGTAGTTGTGAAGTATGTGTGGTGCATTTTCATGGTAAATACTTGACAAATAGTTCAGATGGGAATTATGAAAAGTAGAAACCATATTATACAAACTATCAATTCAAAGGGACTCAAAAAAAGCTGGTTCTTGAAAGTCCACATTCTGCAGTCGATACAGTTATTTCAGCACTATGAGCAGGCTGTGTATAATTAATGCCACACTTTCATGCTTGGAATGTTGCATCAAGTCCAGCAATCTTGAAAAACATTATACATTCGTTAGCCGGCAAAACTGCTATATGATTTATGCGAAAGGTAACATTTTTGCTGGCTGGAATGACATCATCAAATGTTCAACAAAAATAACAATATAGTCGAGTATGTTTACAATTTTTTTTTCAAATTGAAGGTATAACAAGATTAACCATGTGATTATCATCTCTAAATTGAAGGGTTCAAGACTCCACTTTTTCCTTCCCAAGCAGACTAGGCTTGTAAGCTTAAAATGAGCAATCATCATTGATGGAGGTTTATGGAGCTTGTATCAACTGTAAACACAATCCTCAGGGTTTTTCTATTTACCTATTTGATGTCTTTGAACAGGAAAAAAATCTTTTATTTTAGACAAGTTGTGACATTTTGCGAACTTTTTTAACAGCTGTTGTCTTATACATAGGATTAATCAAGCTTTTGTTATATTGTAGTCTCCGTGTAACAACATGAATCATGTGCAAAAAGTTTTCTGTTTATGCAAACTTTGATATTGCTGCAGCATTGTGCTATAAAAAGTGTTTTACCTTATCACACAATTGTACACATGTATATTTTCTCATGTAATTATTTGTGGCAAATGAAATTAGTGCGAGGAAGAAAAGTTAATGGCAGGGCATGTTGCAGAGGGGCGGAGTTTTTTGTTGATCTGTAAGTCGGATCTTTTATGAAGCAGCGTTATTTTCATGCGCAGTCACAAAAGAGTGGAGGCATAAGACAACAGGTTAGTAGCTATGGTCACTAGCGCTTTCGGCACGCTCCGTATGCTTGCACCTAAAACATGAGCAGAACCACCTAGATGCAGTCATCATCTTTCCAAGCTACAGTTTACACTATACCTTGCTGAAATATTATGTGGAAATTTTTATAGGACATTGCTTTCTATAAGGGCAAGAAGTTATGTATACTCATCTTTTTTGACAAGCAGAACCAACTGCAACTCTGAAGGAGCATGTAATAATTTATGATCATGCCTGGAAAAACTGGGTCTCGAGAAAATGCGCAGTAGTACTCATTTGGTTGAGCAATACACTCAAACCTCGTTATAGCAAAGTTCCATCTCACATGAAAATAAATTTGTTATTACCAAAAATTTATTATGAAAGTATATTTCGAACACTATATCTTTTGCAAGGCTCTTTTTCGTTTACATTGTTATAACCAATATTTCGTTATATCTGAGTTCATTATCTTATGGTTTGAACGTATGACATTTCAGATGGCTCTTAGGGTTTTTCTGAGATTTTGCAACAATATAAACACTTGCATGGTGCATTGTGGGATAATGTGAAAGGCCCATTCTTTCCTCTTTTTCCTTGCTCCCTACCTAGTTAGGCTACTCATGAGTGTCTCTCAGTGTCTGACTGCTTATAGCATCTGAATGCACTGTTTATGTGGACATCGGTGCTTGGTGCTACAGTTATTAGGAAGAAAATAGACAACACCGCAGCAGCCATATTGTTTCATTCTTTCCTGCACATAAAACCCCAGTATAAAATGTATATGCAGTCACTTGTGACCGCAGTGGCAAGTCACTATAGCTTCATTGAATTTAAAGAAAAGCACATTTAGCTGTCCATGCCTTAAACCTCACCAGGCTTGAGCATTGCAAAAAAACAAGTGCGGTGCATAGATCGCTTGGTAGCAAATATGTCTGCAAACTTAGAAGTGCCGCTGTGGTGTGAAAATGGTCCAAGAGTAAAGTAGAATGCTACATATCCGGGTTTTAGGGGCGAAGCTCCTTAAGGCATGCGCTGTGCGTCTCCTGTATGTAGCCACTTCTCGTTTAGTTCTTGCAGTGTTCACTAGATGGCGGTACGTACTGCTTAACCGGTAGTACTGCTGAACGGTAGTACTGCTTAACCGAAATAGCCTCAGGTCGCTCACTTACCTGTCAAAAAAAGAAACCTTCAGGGAGTGCGTTGAAAGAACAAAAAGCGTGCAGTAATTTATTAACTTCGCGTGACAAAGTCTGTAATCTTCATTTGACGACGCGGCGGCCTAGCAGCAACGACAGCGGTCTCAAACTCACTTATGCTGTGAGCCAGCTTTTCCGCCAGCCCCCTCTTCTCGGCAAATACCCGCATGAAGCTGACGCAATGCGCAGCTTCGGCCACTGTCGGACTTGGATCACCCGTGTTGTCGCTTTCCATGTCGTCCTCATCACTATCATTTGGCGACACTTCGACAACCGAGGCAACAATGGCTTCTTCGGACATGTCCGGAGATGTCTGCACATCGCTGTCTGTGTCTCTGAAGTCGGGGAAGGAAATGCCTTCCGTAACGCCCTGCCGCTCCAGCACTTCAGCTAGCAGAGTTTTGCAAGCTTGTCTACAATGTCCGAAGTCTGGTCGATGGTGTCACTGGCGTCATCTGCGTCGCCCGCACACACACTGAAGCCAGCACGCTTGAAGCAATTTTGAACTATCGTTGCTTCAACCTGCCGCCACGAGTATTCGAGCAGGTGAATCGCGCCAATCAGGTCGATGGAGAATAATTTGCCACATTCAATGGCGAGAAGAAATCTGCGCAGCACATTCCTCTTGTAGAGCTGCTTTGCAGCACGAATGATGCCTTGGTCCAAGGGCTGGGCATTCGCTGTTGTGTATGGTGGAAGAAACGCCAACTTCACAGCTGTCAGGTTGTCCAGGGCGACGTGCGCCGAAGCATTGTCTAAAATAATAACAACTCTTCTGTTCTTAGCCGCAAAACGATGATCGATGAGGCGCACGTACTCCTCAAAAAGTTTTACCGTCATCCATGCTTTGGTGTTGCTGCGATAGATGACCCCTGATGGCAACCGGGCGCCTTTAAAACATCTAGGCTTCGCTGACTCCAATCACGAGGAGCGGAGATTTGTCGGTTCCAGTCATGTTTACGCAAAACGCCACTGATATTCTGTCTTTTGCATGCTTGCCGCCGGTGCACGTCTCGCCTTTGAACGCGACGGTTTTTTCTGGTAGCAGCTTAAAGAATAGCGCCGATTCATCCATATTAAAGATGTCATCAGGTGTGTAGTCTTCCAAGATGTTCTTCAGCTGAGGATTTTGCCACTGCTCCGCGCCATCCACGTCAGCAGCAGCACTTTCTCCCGAAACAGTCCTCGTAGTAATGCCATGCCTCGCCTTAAATCTGGCCAGCCAGCCATTGCTGCACACGAACTTGTCATGGTTGAGCTGCGAGGCAAAAACCAGGGCCTTCTCCACGAGCAGGGGTCCGCTGATAGGCAGATTTTCTGACCGTGCAGCTTTTAGCCACTTCACCAGCGCCTTCTCTACATCCGAAAACACCGAACCGCAACGCCGGCACCTTTTCCCAGTTGCAGCAGCACTGCCGAGCAACTTCTCTCTGGAATTCCAAATTCCACACACCGTGGTTAATGGCAGGTCCTCTTCGCGTGCCAGCGCCAATTTTTTCGTGCCACTTTCAATAGCACGAATTAAGTCCAATTTCTCCTCTATTTTCAGCACTCGATGCTTTTGTCCCAGCTTCGGAATGACGCAAGTACGAAGCAGCACAAGCACACATACAGAACACGTGAAAAACGACGTGAGAGCTGTACGGCACGGATCAACCAGAGAACACCTATGCACGGCGCCAAGGGAACAAAAAAAGCAAAGCAAGTGCACATCGTGTTTGCGTGTTTGTGCAAAGTGCCATCGCGTGGACAACACCAGAAGCCTAGCCGGCCAAGTGCTTCTTGTTGCAGAAAAATGCAAGAGATGGCGCTCACCAACACAGCCGCCATCATCATCAACACAAACAAGCGAGGCGTGTTTCGATCTCTGGTGCTTGCTGTTCTGTCGGGACGCCCAGTGGGGGACGACATGCCGCGGCGAGTGCGCAACGAAAATTGGAAAAACTACTTATTAACCGATACATACGCGATAAGCTGGTACGGCTTATGTGGATATAAAATGCATTTTGTTCAATGGCCGCCGAGTCGGGAATTTGACTTCGCTACTTTTAAAACGAAACTACTGTTTATGCGGGTACGGTTTAACGAGGTTTCACTGTACTCGTAGTTGATGATGAGAGATGCGAGATGTTATAAATTAGGAATGATATCACGTATGGCGTGTGTCATTGGTGGAAGGCAATCGTTCGATTTAGTGAGGCAACGTACGCTAGGGGGAGCGTTGTAATAAAATCGAGTGGGCAAAATGTACGGAGGATTCATGGTTTACCAGGTTTACCTCCGAAGCTTCGCCCACTCATCATCATTCACTTTGTGGATATGGTGGCACTTTTTTTGTATGAGCCGTGCTTTGCAACAGTGCGAAAACTTGCTTACACGTAGGCCTACATAGTATACACTGATTGGAATGTACACGGACGATTTGGAGTCATGAACAGCCAAAGTAGTCATGAGACGTCACTGGCCATGGCACATGACTCTAGCTTTTCATTCAAAGTGGAGAGCACCTGCCACAAACTGTTAATTCAGCGTCATTGGCAATGAGTTGTTTTTTCATTGACTTTAATACATTTTCTCTTTATCAAATAAGTACTACACTTAAATTAAATATTATCAGTGACACCCTTAGAGCTTTTCTTGGCTTCATTGGGCTGTGACTAAAATTGAGCCCTTTGATCTTTTCCCCATATTGGCATGGTACGCCACTATCTACGTCTCTATAGCCGTTTTCATGTTGCAGTAGTCCTTTCATGTCTACCATCTGACTTCTTAATTTGTATGAGGGCCCGTGTGTGCCCCTGTAGGTTATAATCACTAAAATACTAAAAAATGTTTCGCTTATCGAGTATAGGTGACACAGCAGCCCCAAATTTATTTTAAAATTGGTCACATAAAATGTTCATATCGCAAGCCTCAGCCTGGCCGCAGGCAGACCCTTTGTTTTTCGCTTGCTTGTCTACAGCACAAGTGCCATAAAGAGGAATTCTACTTCACTGAGTCTCTTATTTTTGAACAGGTGCGTCACATGACAGACACAAGCAACTTTGACCGGTACCCACCAGACACGGATGGTCCACCACCTGATGACATGACAGGGTGGGATGCCAACTTCTGAATGTTAGGACAAGGACTCAGTTTTTTAAACCGTGCGTGTTTTCGCAAATGGACTCTTTCTTGCCAATCGCCGGAAAATCCTAGCGGGCCAGTCGATACAGCCTCCAGCACTTTTCGCCCGTCATCCTCCTTTGGAATCCGGTAAAAGATGTGGCCTACTTTTGGACAGAAACACAAGAGTGGTGCGTGCAGCTGCCGAATGATTGTGGTCCCCCAGTGAAAAACACCCTTTAAGAAGAGTGCCCTTCTCTGTTGGGCACTTCACAACATGTCACAAGAAGGGCCCCGACTCTAGTCTTTGATGCTCGTGTCCAAAGACTGCGTCTTGTCTTTGCACCCGGCTGTGAGAGTTGATGTGTAATGCTGTGGTGCCTGCTACTCTGACTTAATTTGCAACCTTTTGACAAGGGTCAGTGAAGTGCGGCACTGCTGCACACACAGTGATGGAATGGGCGATCTTAGCACTTATTACACTGATTGAATCGGGAGCCTTGTTTCGAAGACCAATTTCAGAAGCTCGCATTGTTGCTCACTCTATGAAACAAGCTTATTCAAGGTATACAGGTGCAGCAATACTATTGGCAATGTATACCACATGTGGGCAGTAGTCACTGTATTGACTGCACTTGGCAGTCTATGATGACATAGGCCTGTGATATGCACCAAGCATTCACTAGCACTCTACTTTTGCGATTTCTCCTGAAGGTTATAGTATGGAGTCATCATATTTTAGAAAACTGACAAACCTTCTAAGACATTATTAGCTTGATCTTCAAATGCATATCCCTGTGGTTTTAATAGTTTGTCACCATTCTATTTCACTATCACTTATTGTGTGCTGTGACTCATATCTACAAGGAAGACATGTTGTCTATACGAGTACAAAATGGGTAACTTTAGAACTTTAGCAGGTTAGTGTTTGAACTGTATGCTGTTAGGCCATGTCTTCTTGGCAGCATGCACTTGGTTTTGGTGAAAACTCATTGTTTTGATTCTTTGTTTTAAAATGAAGACTGCTTGTTTGCATAAAATTGCAGCCCCTTTCAGTGCTAACTGATGAACTAAGCCAGAGAGATGGCATAGTGCTCTTTTTTCATTGCATGGAAAGGTTTGTACAACTTCCAACTCTTCCTGAAAGAGTCAATTGAGTTGGAAGTGTCAAGCTTAAACATATTTCAGAGCTCCTGAATAATGATTTAGGCAGTTGCTCTATAAGTGCTGCTGCATGCTCAGCTGACAATTATCTTTAGCAACATAGTTTGCTCATTGCATGAAGTGTTGAGAATAGCTTTTATATACTATGCAATAAGCTGTCTGTTTGTTGTTGTGCCTCTCTTGTGATATAATGACAGTACTCTGAATTTAAATGCCATTCTTTTGTTGGTGTTGTTGGTTAGCATGCAGGTGTTAAAGCTGTATAGATCCAAGTGCTTTGAAATTTTAGTCATATTAGTGTGCATTCGAACAGCGACTGTCTTAGATGGCTGTGAAGGCACCGCAAAGTCATTTGATCCTTGGGCCTCTTGGTTTCCCATTATACAAATGTTATGGTTGCTTCTTGTTCTTAGTGGTTCATGCACTACACATAGCCAATATTGTGTGTGGTATTTTGACAAGAGCTTTTCTTTATCACATGCAGTGCAGACAGCACTGAAAAGTAAGAAACCTTAGGAAGATAGACTTATATGTGAAGTATGTTCCAAGTTGCACTGCTTTTACTTCAAAGAACAGAAATGCATGCTTGACATGTAGGCTACATTTTTAGCTTATTTACAAATTAAATCAGTTGCAATGAGCTCAGTTGGCACCTTGAAACTTGTATGGGCCCAGTCTAATAGATAAACACAAATGTACATCAAGTCGACCATAGGAATGGGCAAGTATTTTGTGATGACACTTTGATATCTGAAATATTGTACATGTGCATTGTAATACAAAGTGTACAGTACAGCCATTTTGTTGACAGCTTATTATTATTTCTTGTATCGGTGCAGTATTTCTTTTATTAGTTATGTTCACAGTTGTTAATAATGCCTGACCACATATATTGACATATGAAATAATCAAAAAAATTTGTGCCTAATGTGTAAATTATGCAGTGCCTTCACTGTATCATACTTATACCACCATAATCTGCCAGCATAAGACACTGTGTTGTGTGTCTAATTGAATATACTTTAATGACTGCATTGAAAAATAGATTAAATGGGCCTTAATTGTTCATTCTAATAAATGTTTTATTATTTGCTCTGCACCACTGTTTTTTATTACAATGTGGTTGACAGAAAAATGAACTTGAAGGACAGTGAAGGGTCTTGCTGTTTTCCTATGTAATTTTGTCTCTACATAGGGTTGCTCAAGTTTTCAAACACAGAAGTAAAAAAGTATCTCTCTGCTGTGTCTTTGCCATCTGTTTTTCAACATTTTTGTGCCAAAAGCAAAGATTTTGTCTTTGAATGTAACGAAAAAATTTGTTTTGCAACGACTCTTGAGTGAAAAGTGTGCTGTGCATTGTCTGTCAAATGCAAACTTTTGCCCACGTGATTTGTGGTGCCTCAATGCATCAGCCATATATTTTTTTCTATTTAGTTTTGTTTTTGTTCGCTCACAGTGAATGCAATAATCACTGCATGTAAGCAAGGTAGTTGATGTTTATATATAAAAATACCAAGCTTTATCTCAGTTTGAATGCAATATAAGCTTTATTGTTTTGTTATTGTACAGAGCAGTACTTCTTTGTGCCTGTTATGATGTAGAACACCTTTCTAGGCTTAAAAAATTATTTTTTCTATTGATGTTCTTTATGTGCACATTAGCAAAATGAAATTGATGTGGCTGCAGTATCCACCACAGTAGTGACTATAAGCACTTTCTGAACAGTGGCATTGGAATTGGGCAAAGCAATTCTTCTGAACTGGTATAGGAGGCCTGGAAGCTTTGACCTGTCACATCATGCTGGTAGACTGATTATTCCTATCTAGTAAGCATGGCATAATAATGGTAGCGTATCTACCGTCTTGCCAATATGCCCATGTTAACTGTCAGCCTGCTTGTGTGATATCATGGTTTTATTTTTTGGGTGTCTGGCACTCTGGATGCATGCGAGATAATCAGGCACATGGCTTTCACCTCCTGAACGTTGCTCTTATGAATTGCCCTTTTGTCTACTCTTCAAACTGCTAGACACAGCTCACCACTGAATTTAACCCGTAAGATATTTTTGGCTGCACCATTCTGAGTTAATCGGCACAAGTGTTCTGCAGTGCTTGACACTGTTGTCGTGGGTTTAGCTTGCAACACATTGTCTAAAGTTTTTTTTCCAGTTTGTTTTCCTATACTGTTGTTTTGTCTTCAGCGATAAAAAAATTTTTTTGGAGGAACCTGCCATTCGATGAATTAAAGTTTTGCTGTCCTGCTTGTTTTTGTAAAAGCGAGTCTTCCGTGTGAAGGCTGTTGAATAAGTGTGCAACCATGTTTCTTTCTTCTGTGGCTAGTTGTACTTTCAGTGAAGGTGTGAGATAATCTTTGCTGAACATGTGCCAGGAGAACCGGTGTAATGTGCAAGTGTTTAAAGTGACACCAACTTAGGAGGAAAATAAAGGATCCATATTTTGCTGCCAGGAAGGCCAATTTACTTTTCTTGATGTTAATGTGCCATGTGACACTGCATGCCAAATGCCCTCTATGTGTGGAAACAGCTTAACTAGATCACATAGTATTACAGTAGAGGAGCCGTCGCAGCAAAAAAGAAAAAAATCGATCTGCTGCTGAGTTTCTCTTCAATGTCAAATATAACATCACATGGCAATTTGTATGGGTAGCACTCAGGGTTTAGGCATAATTTTTTTTTTTTTTGCGGGAGGGGGGTGGAGCAGAGTATTACTTTGAAGTGAGTATGATTTGAAGTGGAGCCCAGGCTGGCAGATCAGATCGAGTGTCATTTGGTGCTCTGTATGATAATATTGAAAAAAATTGCGAAGGGCACAGGTCTTGTGAGCCATCCCCTGGCTACGCCACTGCTCATGTCTGCTCATAAATAGCTTCTACGGACCGGACGGACTTTCGAACGGACACAGTGTCATGGATATTGGGAAGGAAAAAAAAACATGATTGGCCCCTCCGTCGCATTACATGTCAGTAAAACGTGACCTTACAGAAGTAGTTCAATGTTTACTGTACATTTATACAAGTGATTTTGTACAACGTTTGGTGTTTGGCAGCTACAGCACCATTTAATGTGGATGCATGCATCCACATTGACTTTTAGTGATGCATCTCTATCCCGCGACGATTAACATGCACGATTAATGATTAAAAAAAACCTTGTGGTCGCAGGTTCAGTCCCTGCCCACGCCAAGTTATATTTTTGTCCACTTTTCTTTTCATTTACATTACAATGACTATACTTTCCTTGGTATGATTGTCTGTCAGATCTCATTACCCTTTGGGTCATAGATGCTTGTAGTAGCTGTATAGTAAACGGTGAGAGCACAGTTAGAGAAGTCGATGTGACAGCTAAAAGAGCGTGACTGGCCACCGAACTTGGGCTCGCGGCATGTTATAGTTGTTAAACACGACTGCCCGACTACTGAGAAACGCAATACGCGTCCTGTTTTCTCGGTTGGCTGGCCGCGTTTTCTCACGGGGCGAGTGATCATGCGCGCGTCGCCAAGCAACTTTTCCCTGCTATGAGCGAGGCCGCGCGTTCGCGCCGTCGACCTCCTCTTTTAACAAGCTCGTGTCGCAGAAAACCCGCCGCCGGCGTTGGCCCTGTTGGTTGTGAGCGAAAAATCGTCTTTGCGTCTGTGACCGAAAAATCAAGTTGCCGAGATAGCCACGGGAGGCCGCTACTTGTACACGCGTGTGTGCGCGATCACACTGAGAAGGCCGCGCACTCAAAGAAAAAAAGTGCTCAAGGTCACGAGGCGCGGTAGTATCTTTGCCCTGCCACCCCTCCCTGCTTAGCTTCCAGCCATAGAAAATAAAGGAGGCTATGTTCCAGCGCTTTCGTCGCGACAAGAAATAATGCAATTGCAGCATGCGGCAAACCGTTGTAACTCCACTCGCACTGGACGGATTCTTGAAATTTTTGCGGCGTTGAATTCGTGAAGCAATACGCTCTTCTAGTGAATTCATTCCATGGTTACTTAAAAAAGTGTTTCAGGGCCCCTTTCACGCATTTTGTTCGACAGGTGTCACGACGAAAACGAGCCCATTCAGCGATAATAGCGCGCGCTGGTCCAATATACTGTGTGCGTGTCTGTGTGCGTGCGTGTGTATGTAACAAAGCATATGAATAAGTGTGCACTTAGCGGTTGAAGGGTGCACTAGGGGCCGGATTTTGCTATCGCGTTCAACTCTTATGGCGCGTTCACACTTGAGAGGTGAAAAACGAAAACGCCAGAGCGGCCGGAAAACCCCGACCGCGCGCGTCGAAGATGTTCACATTAGTTCTGCCCCATCCCGCCGCCGCATCCGTCGATACCTTGACAATTAATTCGATTTCACGTGCTTTCTGCGATTCGTACCTAATTCTAGTTATTCACGCAAAGTAGTGAAAAGAAATAGCTCGCACTTTTTCAACGTTGTTTTGGGAGATAAGCCAGCAGAAACGACACGAGCGAACGCTCCGGCAGCGGCAGCGGTGCATTCAGCTGGCTGTACACAAATGCGAGACACGTTCGGGCATGCCGACTCGCTGCCGCTGCACCGTCTCCTTCAAGAGTTCTCGGCGATCGTAATCCAATTCAGGCTCTCGATGAGCGCGTCCTCGTTGAGGCCATCAAGCTTCGTCGTGCTGCACGGGTAGTTTTCGATTTGAGCAGGTGCGAGCCACCGCCGACGCCTGTGCCGCCATGTTGAATCGGCGGCCGGCTGGTTAGGTCACGTAGTTTGATCTAGCGCAGCAAAGGCTGTGAAGCGAATTTCGCGAGGCGGAAAAATCGCGCACGGACCGATTTTTGCGCGCCGGCCCATGCGGCGTGGTTTTCTGGCCGCTTGGGTGGCGAAACGAGCCAGTTACCGGAGAGTTTCGCTGGTTTCGCTCTCTTCGAGGCCAAGTGTGAACGCGCCTTTAAAGGCGAAGCTTGAGGGTCCCGCAATTTTTTCACCCCCTCTTTCATGAAGCCGGCGCATCACCAGAAGCTGAATGGCTGGGACGCGTGCTACCAGTTAGTCAGGCGACCCTGGTGTCATGAGAAACGCACGCAAGCAAACTTCGCGCGCTTTCGTTTGCCACGCACGCCATGAACCCTCCAGGCTCACCGCTCCGAACGTGCTTCGGAGTTGAATTTCGAGCTTCGCTCTTCGAGGCAATACCTGGTTGCTGCGTGTGTCAGTGCAGGTGCAGGTCAGAAAAAGGAGTACGGTTATTTTATATTCCCGTAGGAGAAAAATTCGGCTGATCCCACGTACCTTGCGAATGACGTTACGCAAAGCATGCGGAGGGAAGTTGCATGTCGAGTGGTTGCAGCTAAATTTAAACGTACGCACGAAAAAAATGCGAGGAGGACAGTGCTAACACCACGTGTTCCTTTCGTTCGTGCGTGCGCTTAAATTTAGATGCAACCACTCGACAAGCACGATCACCAAACTAGCACAGATGCAAACCATTTTTTTTATTGAGCGACACGTTATGAAATGATGTACGCTAAATACAAATGTTGCAGGTACAGACATGTGTTACACAGTCACAGATGTTTATATAACCAGTTGTTTGCACTTGCAAAACGATGCCCACAGCAGCATAAGTAATAGCAACACCAGAAACAGTAAGCTGATATCAACGTTTTTAGATATGGTTTAGATACGCTGGCTGATATGAAGCACTGGTGCTCGTGAGGATGGTAGCCTTGGACACTGCTACATAAATAAACTTCAGCGGTTGGTACCTAATTACAATCGCCGTTAACCCGACATGAAGGCTGTATCGTAGAATTGCACATCTGGTGTGTGTGTGTGTGTGTGTGTGTGTGTGTGTGTGTGTGTGTGTGTGTGTGTGTGTGTGTGTGTGTGTGTGTGTGTGTGTGTGTGTGTGTGTGTGTGTGTGTGTGTGTGTTTTAAATAGGATAGCCAGCGCTGAAACCACATTTGACGTTTCACGGCTATTACGGTCTATTTGAAAAGTAGTTCCCTGACTTGGCGTGGCTCTGTAGTAGAAGAATACTTTATTGTCACGCAGAATGCTGGGGTTCGATTCCTGCTGGGACCAGCTGACATTTATTCCTTGCATTCGACGAGTCAACGCTGAATGCCGATGTGAGGTACTTCTTAACGCTCACGTCTTGAAATTACCCATGTGTGTTCTCGCCGTTCCTGGGTAGATACTAAGTGTCAATCACCTGTGGCATATACCCGCATAACAGTGGCCCCTACCTGCCCACGGGTATGAGCCACTTTGGGGTGGAAAGTGTTTGCGACGTACACGACAGGATTGTGACATTATTCGTGTCTTGACCAGAGCGTCATCTTCGTCAAACCATCTTACCCTCCCATACTAATTTTGGTTTACCCCAATTTAAGGGGGTGATCACGAGAGCACCCAGACGTAAGCGGCTAGATAGATAGATGCGTAGATAGACTCGAAAAGTGCTTGCAGTGCGTGAAGAAATGCTCCGAATTAAAAAAAAAAATGCCGTGTGCAGGAAGCACTGGATTCAAGACATGGGAGAAAGGAATTCGCCCCTTCCAAGCACGTCATTCTTTGCGAGGTAAGGGTTACCTATTTCGATATATATCTGGATGAAGTTGTATGGAGATTGCATCGCTCATTGCATAGCCGTAGTGTTCATTGAGTTTAATAAGAAGCACACCCGTCAGAAAACTTTCTCCTGACGAATTGAAAATTTTCAATTGGATCCCATTAAAACTGTTGGACATTTTCAATTTGCCCCATTAGGAGTTTACAATTGTGTTTTGAGACATCAATTGGAATATTCCAATGGGTTCAATGGGTCATCCTGTTAGGTTTGAACGGGTCTGACCAACATAACCAATTGGTAACACAGTCAACATCTAAATGGATTGACCAATTAGACTAGCAGGCGAACCCAGTTCACCTATTGGAAACACCATAGAGTTCCTATTGGATTTATCAATTGTGTTGATGGGTCTAACCAACTCAAACAATCGCTAGCATAAAAAAACTTAATCCAAATTGTCCAATTAGATTGATTGGTCAGACCAACCTCGCCAGTTGGAAATACCACGTAGCTCTGAATAAGGGTCTGATCTGTTAATCTCATTGGAGATGCATAAAAAAAACATGTTAGATTTCATGAATTTAACATTAGTGAAGGCTACCGTAAAATGAAAAATTTCTCCACATATGTTATGTTCCTCTCTAAACATAACCTCATTCAACATGTCAGTAATTTCAGCCTAGTGAGTTCTGCCGGGTCGCTAGAACAACAGGGTAATTTTTGTGGCCGACAAAAGTGAACATATGAAATAAATGACACACCTGGTGTATCTTAGTAAAATGTAAAGATATCTCATTTCAGGAGTAATGTTGCGATTGCAAACATATCTCTATGAACTATTTTCTTGTCTTACAGCTTTACTCAATTTTGTTATGTCCAATTGCAACCAATTACCAATCAGTAAAGTCCAACTGGAATAAATGGGTGGAT